TGTGGAAATTCACTAAGCTGCACACTCATGAGCTGTACTTTTTGGCATGTTTTATGTTGTGATAATAAATATATTCTTATATCTTTGAGTAAACAAAGGGGTAATAATAACAGGCATTTCAAAAATAAAAAGAACTGATAAAATTATGTCAACGAGGAACAACTGTTATGAAGCCATAAAATAACTTAAAAGAAAAAAGTTTCATTAATACAGAAGTGTTAGTACTTCATTAAAATCTTTAGGACACTGAAATAGATACAGGCCAAAAAAAAAAAAAAAGGCAAAAAAATTTTAATGTCTTTCAAAATAAATGAAAAAAAAGCATATAAATCCCTTGATTATAATTATGATATGACCCACCCACTGCACCCACTGTACACATACACATACAAGCAACAAGTACTGTGTGAATATTTTCCTTCTGGCTTTCATATTTGCTCATCATAGCAGTCTTGTACTGCCTTTCTCTGAATTTCATTTTTACATGACAAAAATGCCTCTCTTTAAACCACTATATTCGGGGATTTTCTATTAACAGTGGAAACTAATCATAACAAAGTCCATTTAAGGAAAAGAACCCAGGTAAGCATCTTTCCTCATTTTATTCTTCCAGGTCTGCCTGCCTATTAACTCTTATATTATGTGTTTATAGGGGGGCAGACTCCCATGGGGAAGGATCTGTGGTTGACACAGTAACCATGACTGACTGAGCTGGTTACTCTTCTTAATTAAGAGGTTAAACCTTAACAAGTTCAATTACCCAGACAGAAGTTTTATTCACCAAATTATCTTTTTATCAGTAAAAAACATTTCATCATATGGTTTTACCACTAGCAAACATATGTAACATTTAAAATTGATATAATCACAATACATAAATAAGTCCTTATATAGAACAAGGCACAGAGTTGAAAAACTTCTCATGGCCAAAAAGCTTAATATAAAATAAACCCAATAAATATTTTTTTTGGTAATGTTACAGAATATATATATATAGATATAGAGACATATACACCTTTTTCCTCATCGATAATAAACTAAGCATTAAAAAAATAAGATTTAAAAATATACTACATCTAATTTAGGGAAAAAGACAGAAGCAGTGATCATATGTTAGTGCTGTGCTACATACACATTTTGTGAATTAATACTGAATGTTGATAATGATTAGAATCAACTGCCAAGAAAACAGAGCATTTTAACAGGCCAATCACTGTGGAAGGAACCAAAAAAATTATCAAAAAATCTACTACCAAAAAAAGGGGCTAGGCTCCTATGTTTTTCAAGTTCTAACTTACTCTTATGGAACAGACAATTACTATGTAAACTACACCAGAGTACAAAAAAAAATAGAAATTAAAACTAACATAAGCATAAAATCAAACGTGATGAAGCTAGCACAAAAAAGAAAAATATAATAAAAAATTTTAATAGAGAATGTAGAAAACCCAAATAAAATGTTACAGAGTTAACTGTAAATAGTGTGTACATCTGAATTCATAAAATAAAAATTTATTAAGAAAAATGCTTTAAGAAACTATTGCAGAAAACTTATACTTTGGGTGAAAGAAGGCTTTTTATATAGCAACGAAACTCCAGAATCCAGAAAGAAGCAGAAAGATTTGAAAGCACAGTGTTTTTAAAACTTCTTTATGAAAAATGGTACCATAAACTAAAGGTACCATAAACTAGCTTACACAGAAATGGAAGGCTGGGAAACAACATGACTTATGTCCATAAAAAGGGTAATATATAATAAGTGAAAGTATATATATATACATATATATATATATATATATATATATATATATATAATGGCATATCAAATGTAGATAGTAAAGATAATACGGTAGATATATTGTCTTCACTTTAATACTCACTATAAAAAAAGAATGACCACAATATATTTGAGTTCTATGAATTACAAAATAATGTTCATAGTAAAATTTAAAAATGAAAAGAAATTTCCCTCTATATGCAAGTTTGTATAAACAAAAGGGAACAAATCAGAAAGGTTACACAGTGATAACAGTGGCTACACAGGGCAGTGGCAGAGACTGCCATTATTAGTTTTATTTTAGACACGTTTATATTACTGAATAGACTGCATTGTGTACATATTACTTTTGTTATTTACGTGACAAATTTTCTAAAATTATATACTACCAGCTAGAATTTTCAAAAACCTAATCATTTTACCTATACCAAAAATACACATTATTTATCAACTGATTAATGTTTACATAAGATCACACACACACACACATATATATCCCTTAATTACAGATAGATGAAAATAAATACACTTGGATATAAACTTGAGAGATTTACTGCTGCCTCAAAAATCAGAAGGGAAAACCGAAAAAGAGAAATATATGAAATATAGAAAATACATAAATGACAAGATGTAAAGGGCATCCCCAGGGTAATGGTGAATACAGATCCCAAGATATCAGTTATATACTGGGGGAAAAGGAAAATCAATGCAGTCACTAAAGCAGTTTACAAAGCTCTGGAATAGACTTCTAAAACAGACTTCTTCTATTAAGTCTATTATTCTGTAAGTCTATTCCAGAAGAAGTCTATTCCAGAATAAACTGAAGCTCCTGAGAAGTTAAAACTGACAACAGAATACAAGGAGATTTAAACAACTGGTGGAGAGTTTAAAGTACATCAGTAACACATATGGAAAACTAAGCAAAACAAAAACTAAAACAACTCCAAAGAAAATGAAAGCTGAAGGGAAACAAAAAAAGTAAAAGTAATAATGTTTATGGCTTAGTTCAATCCTGAGTATCATACACAGAAATAATAATAGAAACTGAGCATTCTGATTTAGTCAAAATGACGAAATTTTACACGCACACGCGCGCGTGTCTGTATGTGTGAGGAGAGCGCACTGTTCATATCCTATAAATAAGAAATTCAACAGGAAACGTGTAAACTAAGAATCACAGAAATACAAGCATGTATGTTTTCTTAAAGACATGGAATTCATGCCAAAAGTAGTAGATAAAATAACTGGAAGCTGTTACCATGGTGGGAGTAACGGTGCAGTGTGACTGTTGTTTGTAGTGTATATAATTAGCTGGCTCTTTAAAATATGTGCAGGTATTAAACTAAAAGCAGTGAGATTTACAACTCAACATAAAGATACCTACCCAACTTGACCAAAAAATGACAATGTTACTGTAAATGACAGATGATTTTCCCATGAGAAATAGATAAAAACTTTAGAAGACATACATTCAGCACATTTTAAGCAAAGAAAATACGACTACCTGAAAATAAAGGTGAATTTTTAAACACAAAGTTTTGATTTTTTTTTTTTTTTTCAATAGCAGCAGTTTTCAACCTTTCTTATAGATCTTAATAGAGTGATCAACTCACCCTGGGACCAGTCTGTGGTTTAGCATTTAAAATCCTATATTCCAGAAAACTCCTTAGCCCTGGGTACACCAAGATGGCTGGTCACTCTAATCCTAACAAGCTCAAAAGTGTTTATTGATATAAAGCTACTATGCACAAGGCCTTTTTTTTTGTACAATAGAGTGAAAGAAATAGTGAAAATAAGCAACTTTTTGGAGACTGAGGTGGATGAGGGAAGAGTATAGAAAATTAAGGGAAAATTTTAGATTTTTAAGGTCAAATAAGGGAGCATACAGCTTCTTGTAGCAAACTGCTGTTACTTTTAGAAAAAAACACAAAAAAGGGCAAAAAGTGAAAAAAACTTGAAATTTTTGGTAAATCAAAATAAAATGACAAAACATACAGTGTTTTCATCTTTCAAAAAAATAAAACCAGTAATACTGTAATCAAAACACCATAAAGATCTGATATTAGAGGGAAAAAAAGATGTGGTCACGGAATAATGCAACTGCTTGATGGACTCAATGTCTTGAAATGACAAGGACATCAAAAATTAAAGCTGAAGAAAACGTGAGTAAGAAACAAAAATAAATGAACAAATAATTTTTAAAACAACCAAATGAAGAAAGCAGTTTAATATCAAATGATAGTGAAATTTAGAAAAAAAATATTAGAATACTGACTAATAGGATTATGATAGGGAGAACAGGATAAAATAGGCAGAGGGGGATGGTTAGAACCTGGGGAAAACACCTATTTTGGAACAACGCTGGGAGCTTCTGACCACAGCGAACCCTCTTGGGCTTATGTAAGGTTCCTCTTAAGAATGTAACAGATACCACCTACTCCCCCTCAGGTTTCCCTCAGGAATTTGACACTCAAAATACCGAACTAAAAAAAGTAAACCATTCAACTTATGTTCTACGAGAGACAGTAGGCCCACAGTCTGACGCCTCACACAATGGAGTCGAGCCAATAAGGAATGGACAACCCAGCACCTAGAGTTATCAAGCCAGTAAGGGTACGGCCTGAGAAGGAACAGAAGGACCAAAACCTTAAAAAACAAAGACCCTTGCCTACATACAGTCCTGGGTATTGACCTTCAAATGCCTCCTTCCTGTAAAGAGAGCTTTCCTACTATTGTTACTTCGTTACACTCTAATAAACTTTGCCTGCTGCTCATTTTATTTTTCATCTCTTCATTCTTTGAAGCCGGGAGACAACAAAACCCAGGTAATGAGGTAAATAACCCTGCTAAGAGTATTACAAATGAGAAGAAAATAAACAATACCGGAAGCAGTTACTCAGTTCCTATTTTTGCTTAATTCCTTTTATTCCCTTAGAATAAAAACACAGTTGAAATTTCTGCTAATAAACCAGAGGTGCATTATTAGGGTAACCCAAGTAAAATGCCTTTTTTGTTGTTGTTAAATTATCTGGGTTACCAAAAACAAACAAACAGAAAGAATCAGTCCTAGATTCATGTATAAAAGAAACCCTCAGATCATCAGGTAGCCATGGCTAAGGCAGGAAAAGAGAAACTATATAGGAAATCAAATTTAATTCAAGAAAATAAAATAGTTTAAGAATTAAAAAAAATAAAAAAAATTAATTGAAAATGTTAATTGTACCTTAAAGAACCCTGCTTCAGGGCCACACCTGTCATATACATTCCTGGATTTACCTATCGCCATGATAATACCTTGCATGTTCGGTGTCATCATGATCTGTCACAAGGAATTTAAAGTAAGAGTTTTTGAATGGTTAACATAAAAGTAAAAAATAAAAACAAATTTCTTTACATGCAAGTTAAAAGTCCTTTGTTTTTTTACTATTTATAAATCAACCACTGCATATTTTATAGCAAATATGATCCAGTATGCACGTTAAGTATCTTTCAAAAGCATCCATACAGGGCCACAGCTAGCTCCATAGGGTGCCTTTGTGCAAACTGCACAGAGGCACCCTCTCTGAACTGAAGAATTTTAAAAAGGCACCTCCTCTTGACAAATTTAAAAAACGTGCTGCTCTCTGAGAACCACTTAGAACAAGCAACAGTTTTTATTTTAAAAAGTGCCTCTTCTTTAAGGTTTGAGCAGTTCAGCATGAGCTCAATTTCACTTCCACTTCTGCCTGTGGGCTGGGCACCCCTGCATAATTCTACAACCTAAATGTCTATAAGCTGCAGCCCTGTATCCACATGACTTTAAGTTCTGAGGTACATGCACTGTTAAACTGTCACTCCAATCAATTACAAAAACAAAACACAATGCATCTCTGCCAACAGCATAAGCATTTGCACAAAATATAGTGTTAAATGATTAATCACAATTCTACTTTTTTAAAATACCAGAAGGCTCACCCTAAAATAAGCACTCAGGTGCTTGATCAATAAATTAACATTTGTATTAAAAACATGCCAGTTTCCATAACTTTCAAGCACCAACATGGTAATAAAATGGTTAACTGGAACAGTGTACTGCTATTAACTGGTAAATACTTAAGTGTTTCTTTGTTTTTATAATTTTTTATCATTCTTAGCTGTTTACATTTTAAAATACCTGCAAAATGAAACAACTCAAGGAACTAGGAAGCTATTGTATTAGCGCAATCAAGAGATTACATCCTTAACCTTTGATTCATATAATGGTTTGATTATACACTCAGAGTCACAATATATCTAACATCTGCTTCAGAAAATCCTTCTGACCAGTTCCTATCTCACAAACCAGCTTCTCATTTTCCTCATGGCCCATGGTGTCTTACACTAGCACAGAAATATTAATGTCTTTGTGACACCTCTGATTTTGGTGATTAATTCCTATTTAACAGCTTAATTGTAACTTTGGAGTAAGCTGAAAAAGTTACTTGGAAAAAACTATTTAATATATATTAAATTCTCATCCATGCCAGTAAAAACTAATAAATGATAGAATTCAAGGTCTTCCCTGTGTTACTATTCAGAAACAGCTTCACTGGCCCTTCTCTCAAATATAAAAAAAAAGATCGAATGTAAGAGGTTTAAGAAAAAAGTGAAAAGCTGGGGGGATCTGATAGGATAAGGACAATAGCACATTTTCATCTGGAGTCTCAAGAACCATATTATAGAAAGCAAAACTGCCTCTTTATAATTTGGGAAACTAAGTAGATGAGAAAGAACTAAGAGTGAAGAGATAAAATGGAGTTGCCACAGTGTATAAAGCACTGGTAGGCATTGAGAAATGATGAATCACTCACTTCACATTCATATGGAGGTTGCAGAAACAAAAAGATCCACTATCTATTTTCAATCATGCTGTAGGATCTTTTGGCAGGAAATGGTGGTTAAGTATTATAATACATAATTCAAGTGAAATAGGAAAAACTTATTTTTTAAATATTCAAATTTTTGCTACTCAATGAAACAAACCTTATTGATAGCCATCAATCTGAGAATAAACTGATCATATGTCTACATAAAGAATTAACTCTGGAAACATAAAATTATCCTTTTGACAAATTCCGTAAGCTTTCTACTTAAACTTTCATTTGAAATTCAAAGTTGTTAGCAGTTGGTAAGGTAATTTCAGATCACGGGTGGGTAAGCTGTATGTTATGCAGCAATAGACATAAAGGTGAAGGTGCATGCATGCCCCAAGTATGTGTATTAAATAGCCAAACATAAGTAAGAACAGTGCAGACATCTATAACAAAGGTACCTCATCATCATAACCCCCCTCCTTTGACTCAATCATGAATTTCCCTACATGAGGAATCGCCACCTCTACAATTTGCTGGTTAGAAGGTGGTTGGCTTGTGGTATTTTCAGGTTTCTGCAGAAAAAAATTATTAGTATGAACATTAGAAAAGAGAACAATGGAAGTAACAAGTGTTAAAGGGCAGAGATTCACGAATCTTTTAAAAACACCTGCATTTGCTTAGTATGAAATGACCACCTAACACTAACATTAAAAGTGAATGCATTAATCAAGTAATAATACAAGATCTATAGCTTTCCTTTTACATCTCAACCACTAAATTTTCTTTTTTTTTCCCAAAGCATTTCTACAAGGATACCAAATCCTTAAAAATAATAAATACTAGAGGGGCGCCTGGGTGGCGCAGTTGGTTAAGCGTCCGACTTCAGCCAGGTCACGATCTCGCGGTCCGTGAGTTCGAGCCCCGCGTTGGGCTCTGGGCTGATGGCTCAGGGCCTGGAGCCTGTTTCCGATTCTGTGTCTCCCTCTCTCTCTGCCCCTCCCCCGTCATGCTCTGTCTCTCTCTGTCCCAAACATAAATAAACGTTGAAAAAAAAAATTTTTTTTAAATAATAAATACTAGAGTTGTAGTTCCCACTGTTATCTATAAGTTATAGCTGAAGCTTTTGTTTTTTTAAATTCTAATAATTCCATAAATCCTTTACTGATAACTTCATCAAAATAAGACATGACTTCCTCTGAACCCAGAGAATTTATAGGCTTTCTTTCTTACGGTTCTACCTTTCTAATAAGTAATTGTATATCCAATTAATATCCATACTCTACTGGGATTAACTCACTCTGTAAAGTCTATGAGAGTCTTGTACGATGTATTTATATAGAAGAGTCTAATGAATTCCTCCTTCTGAAAAAGCTGCTGACATCACTCCTTAACAACTCAATCAAATTTCTTTCTTTTTTTATTATTTTACTTGGTAACAAATTCTATGAATTTCCCTAATCCACACTAATGGAGTAGAAGGCAGAGTGAAATCCAGAAAAGTCTACTCAAAGATCCTAATATGTTCATTCAAAATACTATGTGGGGGCACCTGGGAGGCTCAGTGGGTTAGGTGTCCAACTCTCGATTTCAGCTCAGGTCATGATCTTGGAGGGAGGTCAGGTTTCCAGCTGAGTGTGGAGACTGCTCAAAATTCTCTCTTCCTCTCCCTCTGCCTCTCCTCCTCTCAAACAAAACAAAAATCCCCCCCCACCCAAAAAAACCCAAAATACTGTCCAGATTTCAGAAGGAACTTTCTATTACTGAATAAATTTATAATTAGCATATTTTCACTATTTATCATAAAGAAATTTCACAAGTACTTAAGTGCTCGAAAGTAGCTTGCTTAAGTCATTTCAATTTGCAGCTTTAGTTTTCTGAAGCAAAGGTAAACTTTAGTTTTGACATAAAATAAACAGAAAATTTCAATGAGAGCAATTAAGGGCGTTGTATTTCCTTTTGAAGGGGTTTTATTTCAATTTGGAATGTAAGTAAATTTTATTTTATTTTTATTTTTTTACACTTACTTACTTTTGAGAGACAGAAAGAGACAGAGTGCAAGCAGGGAAGGGGCAGAGAGAGATAATGTGACACAGAGTCCAAAGCAGGCTCCGGGCTCTCAGCTGTCAGCACACAGCCCGACGCGGGGCTCGAACTCACAAACTGTGAGATCATGACGTGAGCTGAAGTCGGACACTTAACCGACTGAACCACCCAGGTGCCCCTAAGTAAATTTTAGAGATGAGAACATTTACTGACATGACCTCCTCTGAACCCAGAGAATTTATAGGTTTTCTTTCTTACGGCTCTACCTTTCTAATAAGTAAGTGTATATCCAATTACTATCCATACTCTACTGGGTTTAACTCACTCTGTAAAGTCTATGAGAGACTTGTACGATATATTTATATAGAAGAGTCTAATGAATTCTAAGAGTCTAAGAGTCTAAGTACATATGCAAAAAGAGTTTAAACAATAAAACAAAAACTAATGGCCAAGACTGATATTGTTCCTTTTAAAAGAAATGCTATTTTTAAACATAACACATCTAGAAAAGGTTTCCTTATTTTGAGTCCTCAACTTTTCAAGAGGAAATAACTAACCTGCATAGTTGTGATCACGAGAGATAATATTCAGCTAATGCAATACCTGATACACATTAGTGGTTCTATAATGACAAGTATTACCAATATTATATTATATTAAAGTGCTTATATTTGAATAGAATAACCCAATATTACTATCATACATACCTAGAGAGATATGCTTATTAGCCCATGACATTTAATTAAGGATTTTTAATCCGTTTAGCATATGAAAGAAGAATAATTGTGCTAGGTCTCTCTTCCTAAGAGTGAAATTTAAGCAGGTAAATTAGGCGATCTGTCTAGACACTGGTATAAAATTTCTCACAATCAAACTAATCTAAAACAATACTATTTTAAGAAGAAAGAATATAAAGGTAAGGCAAGTAGCAACTGGGAATATTACTTAGAATACTACTCCTTATAAAAAAAATATTGCCTTTGAAAAAAAAAAAAAAACAGTTGCACTTAGGAAAAGATGTTTTATAAACCTTTTCAGTTACCACACAAGAGTTTCAACAGCATCATACTGACAATATGGGTGCAAGTTGAAAAAGGGAAAAAACTTTGGGTGAATATAATAATTCTTTTGTATTATTCATCAAGTCTAGGTATCCTAAAGCACCATAAAATTTTTCCATATAAAGAATATGAGGGTTCATTAAAGTAAAGTACATGTGTATTTATCTTTTTCTACTATTGTCAGACCCTATAAAACACCTTAACAAAGGCTAAACTTGAAAGGAGTTAATAAGTTCTTCAGTTAATAGAAGTTCCAAAAATAATTAAAATACAAAGACTTTTATTAATTGCCTGAAATCCATTAAGTGGATTTTTTAAAAAAGTGGTTTCTCATGAAAGGGCTTTTAGGAAGCTATATAACTACAATTTCCTTGATCCCCTTAATATGCTCCTATCTTTTAACCTAGTAATTCAACAATGGGGAATGTATTCTAAAGAAATAAACTGAAATACAGAATAAGTTTCATTTGTAACAGCCTATTTGTAATAATGCAAAAGTAGAAACAAATATACAATGGGGGAATGGGTGTGTAAATAAGAATTTAATCACTCAATGGAATAACACCTAACCATTAAATGTTTTTTACTAAATTTTTAACATGGGGAAATGGTTATGTTACAGTGTTAAATATTAAAAGAAGACAAGGCAAGATACATACAAAATTTTACATGCAGTAGTACCTCAGAAAAAAAAAAAAAAATCCCAAACCTGTACATAAAAATAAGAACGAAAAAGAGCATACCAAAATATTAACAGTGATTATAGCTTTAAAAAGTGGGACTACAAAGACTGCTTTCTTAAAGTATACTTTTCTGTATTTTTCAAATTTCCTAAAATATTCCACTTAAAATTAAAGGCATTCTTATAAAAAGTAAACAGTGTGAACACTTAGGAAACATCTCTCTATGGTTTCTAGGACTATGCTTTCCAGAGAATTCTTCAACTAAGATTGGAACTTAATATATTGTATATTTGTGAAATGGTTAGTATTTAAGCAACAAAAAGAAATTAACAGCTGCTTAGTACTTACACTACATGCTAGGCACCCTCAAAAAATAATCCTAACTAATCCCACAATCATGTCCATTTTATGTAAAAGCAAACAGGTTTAGAAAAATTAAGCACCTTATTTAAGTTTGCCTAGTTAGTGAGAATGAAAACCAATATTAAAAAACCCAGGACTATCTAATCCTAAAGTCTAAACACTCTTTTCATCTATACAATTTAGTTTCTAACACATGTATACCTTTAAATGAGAAAAACCAGGAGGTGGTTACTATGATCCTAAGCAACTAATCATGAGACCAAGAACAAAATCCTTCAGATAGCCATGATTAACATATTCCTAGACATGTTGCAGGATTTATACAAACAAATGGGGCCAACTGTTGGTACTACTCCAGAAGATAAGCCAAATGGAAAAATATTTACGCTAGCTCTCTATCATACTCTCTCAGTGCTATCCTCCTCTCTCAAGTAGAACGAAGCAGTAGGTTGTAGGCTTGTAAGATGATATCTGTATTAGTAACTTAATTTAATAAAGTAACAAAATTTAAGTGCTGGTTTCTGCAAATTTATGTTACACATGATTAGCCAAACTAAAAAAAATCACGTTTCCCTATTAAGCTAAATACTACTTTTGGCTTTTTGATTACAGTTAAAAGGAGGATACTTATTAACTATAATGTAGGCTTTAACAAATAAAATTCCTAATTAGCAAAGGGCCAAGCAAATTACATTTTTATATCAGGCACAAATATTTCTCCCTTGTATCTACTTCTCTGCCCTTTTCACCTCCCTACGTTTTCCTCTTCTACCAGGACCCAAGAAGTGAGACATCCCAGATCCATTACAAGAAGCATTTTCCAGGAGTTCTATAGAGTTAGCAGGGGTTCATCAAAGCTCATTTAGAATCTCCAGGGCATTTGCAAAATTTAGAATAATAATATTAAGAAAAAATCTATGTTAATACATTTTATAGCAAAATAATATATAGTAAAAAATTTTCAAACAGGGAATGAAATAAAAAAGTAATTTGATTATTTCATTTATCGAAACATAATTAACATACCTTACTAATTGAACATTTTGGTTAATCAAGGTCCTATCATATTAAAGACCTCATTGTAATTAGCAGGTTATTGCTGAGATTAAATTCACTAAATAGAAAATTGTGTGTTGAAAAATTATATGCCCTGTTCCCGTTACTTCTCTTGGAGGCTAATCTACAAATACTAAAATTAGCTATCATGAAACCTGCATTACAGCTGCTTCGCTCACTTATTAAAAAAATAAGTAACGGGGCGCCTGGGTGGCGCAGTCGGTTAAGCGTCCGACTTCAGCCAGGTCACGATCTCGCGGTCCGTGAGTTCGAGCCCCGCGTCAGGCTCTGGGCTGATGGCTCAGAGCCTGGAGCCTGTTTCCGATTCTGTGTCTCCCTCTCTCTCTGCCCCTCCCCCGTTCATGCTCTGTCTCTCTCTGTCCCAAAAATAAATAAACGTTGAAAAAAAAAAAAATAAGTAACTACAACAACCGAACGTTTTTGTAGTAGAAAATTCTTGAAATAACATCTCTCAGAATGTCATATTTACTGAAAACACAGTATAATACCAGTGTACTCAATTTATTGCTATAAGAAGACATACTTGAGAGCCACAATACAGGAGAGTTATAATGACAATTTTGTATAGGACACTACTGAAATATGCATAAGCCACACTGCAATATCACATTTATCCTGCTAATAATACTCTAACCTAGAATATCTAGTACTTTACTATTAAACATATTCCGTGAAACAATGAAAATTATTACCTTACATTCCCAACTATTTCAATGTATGAAGACCAAAGATGGAGGGAGGGGTGAGGGAAAAAAAGAAATAATGCTAAATTTTATACTTTTCAAGTTCCAAATCAAATGATCAACAGTCTATAATTATGATTTTTTGTAATTCTCTAAAAGGAAGACAGAAATTTAGTTAAAAAAAAAAAGCTATTTAGAAAATTACAGCTTTAGGGGGGCTTGGTGGCTCAGTCAGTTAAGCATCCAACTCTTGGATTACAGATCAGGTCATGATCTCACAGTTCTTGAGGCTCTGGAGAGCCACGTTGGGCTCTGTGCTGACAGTGTGGGGCTGTGGGGCCTGCTTGGGATTCTCTCTCTCTTTTTCTCTCTCTCTCTCTCTCTGCACCTCCCCGCTTTCTCTCTCCCTCAAAATAAACAAATAAGCTTAAAAAAATCTTTAATAAAAAAAAATTACAGGTGAGGAAAACACAGCATAGGGGGTTAGGTACCACCCACAGCCCCTGATCCCTTTAAGGGCAGAGTTGCCCTCTGGCCTCCTTTCTCCTGACTCCCATGCAGGAAGCTCTCCATTACACTGCAGGAAATGTCATGAAGATGGCCATGTTCAGAGAGCTAAAAGAAAAGTTCTTACCGACTGCAAAACTGTTTCAGGACTTTTATCTTCATGCTCATGTGATGCCTTGGTAATTATTCGAATAGTTTCTTCTTTCAAGTGCTTTGAGAAATCACTTCTTGATGGCTGCTCTAGATATTCTGCTTCTCCTGCTTGTGCTTCATAAGAAAAGAATCAGTTGTATATCTAATACAAGTCACAGAGAGCCTGTACTAAGATGAATCTGTTATTTATTTCTAATTCAAAGTTATACAGTAATTAATTTTTCTTTTATTTAATGTATCACTAAACATATAGCACCTACCCCAGAATTTATAACCCCTCCAAATTCAGGTTGAAGAGTAGTCAATGACTAGAGAAAATACTCATTGTATCATAGTCTATGGTTAGAAATTCATAGCAATCTCATTTTGGAAAATCAGTAACATTCTACCAAAAAGAAAAAAAAAGCAGGGGGTGGAGGGGGGTGGGATTTAGTTTATATAACAATCCTGGTCTGAATTTCCATAGGAAACACAGCTGTTTCTCTGGCCACAGAATCCTTTTTCACACCTGACAAAACCCTAACCTTGAATGAACCCTACCTGCTATCTTTTCTGAACCTGTCCTGGTAACTGAGTGTTGTCATAGGAAAAACCATCACAACCTAGCAAACTGAAATTAATATAAAATCAAGACTTCAAGGGGTGCCTGGGTGGCTCAGTCAGTTAAGCGTCTGACTTTGTCTCAGGTCGTGATGTCGCAATTTGTGGGTTCGGGCCCCACGTTGGGCTCTGCGCTGACAGCTGTCTCCCTCTATCTCTGCCCTTCCCCAGCTCATGCTCTATCTCTCAAAAATGAATAAATATTAAAAAAAAAAAAGACTTTAAATGTTATCCCTGTGAAGAACTCTCAAAGTTTTATCTATCATCTAGGTTCTGAGCCCCAAATCCACCAATGCAGCAATGTACTCTGAATATCCACAAAGTGCTTCATGTAAGTGGGTCTCTGCCTCTCTCTCCAACAGAACTTTGTGACTTTTGCTCTCTGTTCAAAACGGGAGTTTAATACACCAAAGAGGTTTTCCTTTCAACCTTCAGATCTTTCCACATTTTCTTCCCTCTGCCTGTATATTCACCCACTCTCCACTCTCACTCCTGCATCTAAGAACGTCTATGTGTCTTTTTGTTTAAATACCACTTCAAGTATTCCTGATTACACCACTTCTAGAGCTGGGTGTCTTAGCTTTGGCACCTATTACATTGTGGTTCACTGTGATTCTTTGGTGCGAAGGGTTGTCCTGTGCACTGTGGCATCTAGATGCATCTAGATGGCATGTAGATCTACTGTGCACCATGACATCTACCCACTAGATGCAAATGGCACGGTCCTTCCAGGTGTGACAACCAGAAATGTCTTCAGTTTGTCAAATGTTCCCTGGGGGGCAAAGTCACTCTCAAATGAGAACCACTGTTCTCAAGTAACTTACTCTTTCTTTCAGTAGCACTTTACCGCAACTATGACTTAATTACTACTGTTCTCATTTCAAGCCCATATACCCTGCTAGACCCTGAGAATCTCAAGAGGAGAGATACTATCTCATTTTTGTATTGCTATTTCTTCAAAACCTAGCATAAAAAGCATACAATACCTTAATGGAACAAATGAATTAATAAGTAATGGATACAAGGAGTATCCTTCTATACAAAGTTGCAAGGAGTATACAAGAAAGTACACTAAAATGTTCTACGATGTTACTCAGATCGGTTAAGTGAGCCCTTCCTCAACCAACTGGTGGGACACAATAGGGCTACTGTCATCCTTTCCAATATTTGATTAAAAAAAAAAACTCTCAAAATGAAATATTATTCAAAAAGAAATACTATAATTTCAACATATATGCATGGTACTCCATCCATCCAATACATTTTAATTAAGCATTTAACTATGTGCCAGACACCAGGCTAGACAGTGAGACTCAAAGTGTGAACAAAGCAGCCAGTCCGTCCTCTCATGAAGTTTAGAGTCAGCTCTGGAGAAAGTCATTAATCAAAAGAATCACACATATGAACTGTGACAATATTACAATACATTCTAGGAATAAAATGGGGGAGTGATAACTTAGATTATGGAATATGAAATAAACTTTTCAGCTTAAGGATAATGGGTTGATCATCCCATTCCTTGATGGAAGGATGATCTGAAAGAAGGTCAGTGTGGCTGGGCTACAGTATAATAGGAGATATATGGCAGAGAGGACAAAGGCAAAAATCGTAAGGGCCTTCAAGTCTAATAAAAGTTTTAAGGATAAAAGTAAGTGAATAAATGTTTTAAATATAATGGCAATGCGGCAAGTTTAAAAAAAATAATCCTGGCTACAATGTGAAGACTGGATAAGAGAGGAAAGTAAAACTAGAAAGTAAAACTAGAAAGTAAAACTAGAAAGTAAAACCAGAAGTACTAGAAGGTACCAGAGCAATAAGAGCAAGAGATGACGGTGTTTCTGGACAACAGAGACAGAGAGAACTGGTAAACTGAAGATGTATTTTGGACATAAAGGTTGGAGGCGGAAGATGACTCTAAGTTCCTGGCAGAAGGAACCAGGCTGATATAGGTGAAATGACACTACAACAAGGAAAACTACAGGAAGGAATGCTTACAATGTGTGTGACAGAAGGGAAGTTTAAAGAAGTCAAATAAATATTTGACTATTTCTGCATCTCCTGACCTTGCACTGCAATGTTCTTTCAGTGCCCTGTATGATGGATAAGGTAAAGAAAATCTTAGGGTATACCTCCAGCTGAGAGGAGGATGCAGTGAGGGCCATGAAATCCACCTGCTCTGACACTGGTCTAAAGTGAAACATGGACAGTCTACACAAAATAAGTTGTTAAAAACAAAAGTACTTTTATGTGATCAACATAGTCAAATATATCTTAGGTCCCCAGGGTCAAGATTTCCTTCCATATAGGGATTTGAGTTCAAAAACCTTATGAATAATGATGAATGATCTTGCCTAAATATCACATAGTACTATTTCTTCTAGAATTTATCCTTGTCTACGTATCTTCCAGGGAACTTACATTTGAGTGGCACTGTAGTAACAGTAGATGAACCTATAAGGATTTGACATCCAGGAGTTTGGAAACAAAAACCCAAACTTCATCCAGTATGTTTGATCCTCTGCCATTTTACAGTACTGTGCTAGATATCAGCAATGAAAAAGAAAGTTGACCTAAAATTCACTCGCTTTAAGGAACTCTCAATAAAATCAGATTAATATATACCCCGTTACAATACAAAGTATTAAATGCAATAACAGAGTTATGCACGAGGTTCTATAGAAACACTGTGGGCCCAATACACACACTTGGGATGATGCTGCATGTTAAGAAAGATTTCCTAGAAGAAATGCCAAATGAGCTGAATCTTGAAGGATTTGTAGAGCAGATTATCCTAGGAGATGAGAAAGAAGATTCCAGGTTGAAGGACTAGCATATGCAAAGCCACTGTAAGAACAGATAAAAGATTAATAAAATCCTTGCTATTAATGAACCTTTACATTGGTAAACAAATCAAAATATAGGTACAACTTAAATGTGGTAGTGAGAGTAATTGGGATTAAGAGGAAGAAAGGTAATTATTGCTACAGGTATAACATTAGGGGGATTCATAGACTTTGGGATATGAGGAAAGCCTTGAAGAATGGGCAAAATTTCAAGAATACTGACTCTCAGACGATATTTTTTAAATGAAGGATACTTCATAAGAAATGCCATGATAAGAAAGTTCCCCTCAAGCAAAAGTAATGGGAAATAATCTGTTTATATGAAACAAAGTATTCACAGAGAAACAGATGTGGAAGAATTACAAGGGAGTCAAATACAGGGTCCTTATAAAAAAGCAGAAAGGTTTTGGCTTTGTTTTGTCAAACCAGAAGAATAAAAAACATGTTTCCTAGCATAACCAAAATGAGGAAAATTAGAAATTCTTTCACTACCCAGAGAAAGGGCTATTAATATTTTAGTTTATATATTTTCAGACTTTACTTACCCATATTTTATAAACAAAAGGAATTATTCTGAATATACTGCTTTTAGCGTAACGTAACAAACATTTTTTTGTGTCAATATAATGTTCAGTGGTTATATCGTATGGAGGGTTCATACCACTCATATTTCACCTACTGCACATACAGGCAATTTCCACTTCGTTGTTAAAAACAACAGGACAAAGAGTTTGGCTTTGTGTGTATGTAAATACATACAATGCTTTTTGTTCTTCCTGTAACTCTACAAAAGCGTCCTCACAGCTGGCCTGTATAAATGGTAGGAACTCAATTAATAGAGACCACGTTGTTTTCTTTATCTGTGTTCTGACACTTTATATACTAATTGGTCCCTCAGTTTAATATTATTGCTCAGACTTCAATTTGGAATACAACTGGTGATTACCAGTTCTCTATAGAGGTATATAATATCCCTGTACCCAAAGTATCTCTCAAATCGTGTATTTGTCTTGTGGGTACTTCACTGAGATTTTTAAATGGTTATCCTCCACATAACAGATTTTCTATTCGTGCTCTATGTTCAAAATGTAGGGGCTTCACTCACCTTTTCAGACATTAGAGAAGGCCCAACACTCTAAGAGTACTCTAAGCCTGTTCCTTTGGTCCACCTTCACAGTGAGTAAGGGATTGGGAAGGCTTGGGAGTATTCTGTTTATGTGTATTTCCTGGTTATCCTCTTCAAATTTTTAACAGGAGAGTTAACTTGATAACCAATTGGCTTTCTGTTACAGCATAAGGATCTGCTTTTTTTTTTTTCAACATTTTTTATTTATTTTTGGGACAGAGAGAGACAGAGCATGAACGGGGGAGGGGCAGAGAGAGAGGGAGACACAGAATCGGAAACAGGCTCCAGGCTCCGAGCCATCAGCCCAGAGCCTGACGCGGGGCTCAAACTCACGGACCGCGAGATCATGACCTGGCTGATGTCGGACGCTTAACCGACTGCGCCACCCAGGTGCCCCAAGGATCTGCTCTTAAATCACTACTAAAAAAAAAAAAGGAGCAACATCTCATATCTTTCAGAAATATTTAATAGGGGCTCCTGGTGGCTCTCTGTTGGTCAGGCATCCAACTCTTGATCTTGGCTCAGTTCATGATCTCATGGTTTGTGAAACTGAGCCTCACGTTGGGCTCTACCCTAAGAACATGGAGCCTGCTTGGAATTCTCCCTCTCCCTCTCCCTCTACCCCTCCCTGCTCACGTGCGCACACGTGCTCTCTCTCAAAATAAACTTAAAAAAGATTTTTAAAAAAAGAAATATTTAATACCTTGACTTACTGATGAGTGACTTACTTATTACATTCACACTTAGAAAAATATTTAAAGAAGATTATTTCAAAGATATGCAGACCATTTCTAGAAATGTATTTAAAATCAATGATTCCCCCAAAGCAGGCTATAAAGAGCCATGGTAGGCTGGTTGCATAGAATCACCAGACAAACTTTTAAGACTTCAAATTCCTGGGAGCTACCACAAACAAAATCATGGGAAGGTGGGGGGGTAGAGGCTTAGAAACCAAAATTAAATCTAAAATTTACCTAGGACAGAGCTACATCTGTACCACACATTTTTAGCCTGCTTCTCTAATGTATAATTTCTTGGGCTTTACTTTAAAAATGCTAGTATTCCCATACAATGAGTATCACGTGTAGGAAACTCATTATTGGAATCTCCACAGGAAATGAATTCAATTCAGAAAACATTCAAGGGTCACCTACCATATGTCATTTATTACGCTAGATTCTGGAGCTATAAATAAGAAAATCACTCAGTCCCTGTTTTAAGGGAACTTGAGAATAATGAGGATATTGTTCATTCTACCAGGTCTTACTCTCAGAAACCAGCTGTACTTTCCTGAAATATCGGCTTGTTTCTACTTGTAGACTGTATCTGTAGAAAAGTCCCAGAGTGATTTCTACATGCTACCTCTAGGTAAATTTATGAAATGCTATGGAATGCAATTCATATATCAACCATTACCACCTTAATTTTTCTACCTTTAAAAAAAAATCTGGATATGCTATACAGGTTGTTAAAGAAGTCCTTACTAAGTCCTTAATAAGTACTTGAAGATAGGAGAAACACAAGTAAAAGTGCAAAGCTCTTTTCTCCTTCCAAATAATTTCTCTGTTTTATAAATACAGCCTGGAGCCATACTGTTTAACCAAGGGTACGGTCTCAGAAATATCTGAAGGTCTTTTTAAAAATATATATTCTCGACTCTTCCTTCAGAGATTCTGATCCCAGTTAAGTCTTAGGTGATCTTACTTAGGTGCAATGTGCTGTTTATACTCAAGAAAACTCCCCAGCTACTTCTGACATATATACTTATAGTCATGAACTACTGAATAGATCTCTAAATGTAAGTGTTCAGGCAAGTTTTTCTTTGCAGTAAGCAGGTTTAAGGAGGTAGCATGAAAAGGACAAAATAATTTTTGGTCCCATCATTTATTACTAGTTTCATCAGTAAAACAAGGAATAGTACTAGAGAAGAGAGGTCTATGGATTTCTTGGTCACTGTGTTAGCAGGACAAATACTCATTTCATTAATACTATATAAATTAATACTCTTCTTTGGAATATCACTTAGAAGAAATAGGATTTTAATAGCTTTTACAGTACAGCTTTATTGCGAAGATTTGCAAGGAGAAAAGAAAAATCACTATGAACAAGACTTCCTTGTATTACTTCCACTAGTCACTCATAATTTTAGTGTCCACCTGAGAGATTTAAATACAGGTTCTCTTTGATATGTTGAAAATATGCCAAATTGAGCAATTACTTTGGAAACTGTGAAGAGAAATAAGATGACATGGGCATTAAAGTAAAATTTCTCTACTAATGATAGGAGAGATAAGTGGTTCTAATAAACACGAATGAGCCCCCTTATTCAATTGTGATATGTTAAATTACCCTGCAAAAGAGGATAGACTTCTTAATAGGATATGTAAAATAATAGTAATAGAAACCAATAGAAACAATAATAGAAACAATAATCTCACTCCCCAAATTTACAGACTTAGCACATTCTATTCCTAACTCAAACTGTGTATTTTCAGCAATTCTCTATAGAGAACTCAATGTTTCCAATTGCAGCAGTACTGCCACAGCTTTCTAAAAACCCAATCCGGAAGATAATTACCATAATAGTTATATGTAAACTGACCATTTGTGTCTCTTTATATTTTAGTTATTCTGATCCCTCTCAGAAATACATCTGCATTCTCATATTTTTTTAATACTAAAAAGAGAGACAGGAAAATATATGCCCAATACCTACTAGTATTTTTTGAAATTATTAAACAGCATTTAAAGTATATGGTGGGGATATTCGCCAGGATAAAGGGTATGGGGCATGTAAATGTGGCCTTTTATACAGAGAGAATGTAAATGGTAGAGCAAAGTCAGACAGGAATATTAATGGAGAAAATGTATTAGTTTAAACAGAAATAAAATGTATTAAGTCTGTAAATTTAGTCTTGTGAGAGACAAGACAAAGAGGAGACTGTATAGCATTTAATATTTTGGTGCCACAAAATACAGGTGAGCCAAGAACAGAGTTAGAGCTTAACCAATGAATGCATTCACCTTAACATCTGAGTACTTAGGTACCACCATCACTTATGCCAATTAGGCAGCCACATTCTCCCACTAATAACAGCCACGTGGAAAAGGTGTGCAGAAAAGCTAATGGAGGTATAACAAAGTAGCTCCACTGGAGTCAGTTCCAGGGAGAAGTTTGGGAAGGATATGTATAGAAGACAAGGGGTGGTAAGGGATGAAATCACAAGGGGATGGAATTGGTTCTAAAATGAAAGGAACTATAATGTATACACTATGATTCGAGCACAGAAACCTCTTGATATCTACTGATTTCATTTCCTACTGAAGTAGACAAAGTCACTAAAATGAAACTGATTTATTGTGAAACCACAGACCTTCATGTGGCCTACACGGTGGCTCTTACAGTATGAAAAGAAATACAGTCCTGCATCATGGTAGAGCTTACCACATTGCAAAGTGGTATTGGTATAATACCATTATCTTGGTTTTTTAAAACTTCTGAATCAATGCCTATTAACGTCAAGATCAAGGACTCAACTATTCAATTTATATGAAAACAAGTTAACAAGTCCGGACAGATCTGTATCTGCCTACATAATTCATAATATCATATTGTGGTACTGTACATCTTCCATTAAGAGAGTAATTTCTTCTAAAGTTCAAATGATAATGCTGAAATTCAGTTAAGTAATCTGTATGGAAATCTATCTGTAAAAGATGAAATTAAACACTTAAAATGCGTTCTTAAAAACTAAACGCAAAACATGTACATGTTGCATAAAAAGGTCATTTGAGGGGCGCCTGGGTGGCGAGCGCCGTCCGACTTCAGCCAGGTCACGATCTCATCGAATTGTGTGAGTTCGAAAGCCCTGGCTGCTCTGGGCTGACAGCTCAGAGCCTGGGAGCTCTTTTCCCATTCCCAGTCTCCTCCTCTTCCTTCTGCACCTCCCTCGCTCATGCTCTGTCTCTCTGTCCGTGTTTAAATAAACGCGAAAAAATTTAAAAAAAAAAAAAAGGTCATTTGAAAAGATCCACTGAGAATTATAAAGAAATGAGACAAATGAGTTTGACAAAAATATCTGCATTTATGTCTTCTATTTCTCCAACTACTACAGAGAAATAGCACATTTTCACAGTAGAAAATATGTTGCCTTAAAATATATTAACTCTGTGATGATGAAAGTAATCTTTAAAAAAAAATCAGAAGACATTTTATTTTCAACTTTGCTAGAATCATGTTTACTTTTTTACTGCATTTACTCTGAATATTTTATTAATTTCTTCAACTAATAACTTTAGAATATTTTTAAATATTTATATTTTTATACATTGACCTCTATTTTATGGGTCTATACACATTTTAACTTAAAATAATTAGATACTCAGTTTCAGCTAATTTTTTGTTTGTAATTTTAAAAATTCTGAAAAAGGGGTGCCTGAGTGGCTCAGTCAAACATCTGACTCTTGGTATTGGCTGGCTCGGGTCATGATCCCACAGTTTGTGGGTTCGAGTCCCACGTCAGATTCTGCACTGACAGCGTGGAACCTGCTTGGGGTTCTCTCTATCCCTCTCTCTCTGTGTCCCCCCACCACTCTCTCTCTCTCAAAGTAAATAAATAAACTTTAAAAATAAATAAAATAAAAATAAAAATTCTGAAAAAACTCAATTGCTCTATAATAATAGTGTAATTACACAAAATATTACCTAAAGTACCACACAAAATATATATAGATATACCAATAGTGTTATTTTGTCCAAGTGGGAAATTACTAGAGTTCATGCTCCTGATAGCTGTAGTGAAAAGGTATGGATTACTTATCTGTTTCATGGCTTTTCTATGCTTCTGGCCAAAGGTCAAGCCCAATCTAAGTAGGTGGTTGTAGGTAAAGAAAGGGCTAGCAGAATCATCTCATATATGATGTGTGTGTATATATGTGTATACAGTGCTGCCTGGCAAAGGGGTTTAGCTAAACTGTTACCTGTGGTTATCTCTGAGTAATGGAATTTCAGTTGATTTTTACTGGCTTCTTTCTTCACACTTTAAGATAATTAGAGTTTTCTTTTGAAAAGAACGTATCTTATTATTATAATAAAATATCAGTAATAAACATATTGATAATAAAATACATTTCAGTAAAACTATACTAACCTGTTGTTACAGAAGACTCTGACTCCCTCAACTTCTGAGATGCTAGAAGTTTTTCCTGCAAAGCTTTCTGGGCAAGTTGTGCATCCCATTCTTCTAGTTCTTTTTCAAATCGCTGGTTGTCTTCCTCAACAAAATCTCTTAAATCCGGTGGTAATGTTTCAATTCCAACAAGAGCCTGCCCAGTTTCTTTATTTAACTCCTCTGAAAATCATATTTCAAAAACTAATATAAAATGAAGAATTAAAGGAAGTGCAAAGCTCAAAATAGGATGCATTTCAAATGGGATTTAAAGTATGAATTATTACCATTTAGGAAATCAATATTAAAAATTGAAAGAACACTCAAACAAATGTTTGGAAAACAATGATGCAAACATCTGATAATCCATTATGGAAATATTTTCAGCTTTTTCTTTTTAATTTAAAGAGTAAAAAAATGGAACAAGATATAAAGTCAAAATCATCTACTACTCAAACATTGACATAGTACTACTTTTTCTGTTGTAAGAAAATACTAGATGTTTGACTATTTATGAAATAAAAATTATCACAAAATGAGAATAACTCATAACCTTATTAAGCTCAAAATAGAACTAAAATTCTTTTTCACCTAAAGCAGTTAAGTACAGCAATATACTTACATGCAATTTGAAAACTAATCAATATAGCAAGATATTTAAAAACCACTATGTAAGTCGTATTTAAAAGTTATTGAACCACAAAATATATTTCAGCTTTCAGTTGTAAGTAGACTGCCTAGCTAGTGTTGGAAAGTTGATTATATTGGTTTCAACAAACCTTTTAAGTTACTCCTATACGCAAAGCCTATGTTAGAATATAAGAAATAAAACTATTAAGACATTGTATGACATGGCCCCTGATTCTAAGCAGATCAGAGTGAAGTGGAAAAGGCATGTCAACATACAATTCCAAAACATGTAAAAGTACCTGACCGAGATATGCTATGAAAGCACAAGGAGAGATATTTTTTGGTGGAGGTCAAAAAAAAAAAAAAAAAAAAAAAAAAAAAAAAAAAAATTGGCAGAACAAGTGACACTTGAATTGAATCTTGACAGATGAGCAGAAATTAGACAAAGAATAAAAAATAAGAACATTACTGCCAAAAAATAAAAATAAAAATAAATAGTGATATAAATGTGTGAAATCATTTGGTGTAAAGACAACACAACAAGCAGTTCGAATATCAGTAAAGTATATAAACTTTGAAATGGACAATGATTATAAATGAAGCTTGAGAGAGAATCAGAGGCCAACAAATAGAGGCCTTACATATTAGGTTAAGGAGCTTAAATATGAGTCAATATATGATGTGATCCTTAAAGGGATGTTAGCAAGGAGAAACAGGTCAGATTTACATTTTATAGTAGTTACTAAATAGTTAACTGTGAATACAAAATATATTCCAATTGTCAGCCTTGATCACATTACTTTTCAATTCCAGTTTCTCATTTACAACAGGCCAACTGCATTTGCTAATGATATCCAATCACCCTCTGAGTCAATTACTTAACTGATCATACTAGAGACTGGAGTCACATAAAAAGGCTACTTATTTAAAAATATAGACCACCCTAGGGGCGCCTGGGTGGCTCAGTCGGTTGAGCAGCCGACTTCGGCTCAGGTCATGATCTCGCGGTTTGTGAGTTCGAGCTCCGCATTGGGCTCTGTGCTGACAGCTTGGAGCCTGGAGCCTGCTTCGGATTCTGTGTCTCCTCCTCTCTGCCCCTCCCCTGCTCATGCTCCGTCTCTCTGTCTCTCAATAATAAATAAACATTAAAAAAAAAAATAAAAATGAAAAAATATATAGACCACCCTATATATTTCATGTTCTTACCTTTTATTAAGAATTGTGCCTTATCATTTATGTACATTAAACAGTATGCACTGGCATTTCTATAACCACCAAAAGAGTCCCTCACTAGCTCTTCCCATGATGATTTTGTCACAGCAATATCATTGTACTTCATCCACCTATTTTCACGATGATCAAAAATGTATGCCCAGTAGTGCCCGGCATTAGCTTGACCTTCATGAACTAAAACAGCATGTAAGCGGTAAGGAACCTAAATGTGAAAACAGAAGAGTTTAATCACAATTAAGTACGCTATTAACACAACATTCCATGAAACCCATAAACTATCTGAATGGAGAATACCACAGAAGAATATGTTTTTAACAAAACTGTGATTAAAATTTTGAAAAAAATTAAACTATGAAAGAAAAAAGGGGAAAATAAGTAAGCTAAAGACATGTAAAGCATGTGTATAAATAGGATTTTCAAAACTTTGAAATGTATTTCCTTCAAATAAAGAACTTATGATGAATATTTTTATATAGTGTAATCTGGCTAAATCTTCACAATTATAAATTGATGACTGAATTAACAACATGGCCTACATAACGTATACCAAAAGTTAAAATGTAACTGAGCCCTATATTCTTCCCCCACAATCTGAACATCCTTAACGATCATATAATTTCTCCTTTCTACTTTTTTTAAATACTAAGACCTTCCAAAAAATTTTGCTAGGTTTTATTGTAAAATAATCAAGAGAATAAACAACAAATATAGTATGAGAATACAACTCAATGTGGGAAATATTAATATGGAATCTTTAAGATCAGCAATTTTATAACAAAATATATAAGGAGAAGTAGGTTAAGAATTAGGTTAATAATATAAATAAAAATATGTAAATAATTGATAGCATTTACCAACTCAAAATTTAACTTACTTGGATCATAGATTTGTCAGAGTACATTAGTTCAATTGTTCGATGGATTCTTGATATGCTTTCCTGCAAATCTAAGGATAGAAGATGTGATTTAATGATTAAATCAAGTACGTCTCTACCAGACATGAGATAGGGACTAATTGTTTTCCTTCCAATATGTTAGAGAAATAAAGAAAAATTCTTAAAACTATGCTTAAGACCATCACTATTTGGAGTCTGTATAAGATGAAATACAGTTCTCGTTACTAAAAGATATAGCATGAACGTAGAATTAAAAACCAAACAAGTATGGTTCACTTGCAAAATGTGCCAAGACTATAAAAGTAAACTTGTTCAAATATATCAAGGTAAGTTCCAATAAAAATTGAATCTAGGGGTGCCTGGATGGCTCAAGTTGGTTAAATGCCTGACTCAATTTCAGCTCAGGTCATGATCCCCCAGTCATGAGATTGAGCCCTGAGTCGGGCTCCACACTGAGCGTGCAGCCTGTTTAATATTCTCTCTCTCTCTCCCTTTGCCTTCTCCCTCTGTGTGCGTGCTCTCCCTCTCTCTCCCTCTCTCCCTCTCTCTCTCTCTCTCTCTCAAATAAATTTAAAAAAAAATTGAATCTAAAGTCCCTTACATATTTATAGAAAATAGGAAAACTTTGGATTGAAATAAAATAACATTACCACATACCTTCTATACACATATATGTATTAACTGAATACAAATTTATGATCACTAATGGAAACAGTGTTGAGCCTCCCAATAACTTACTACCTCTACTTCCAGGAGAAATCCATTCTACAAAATTATTCACAGCTGTATTGCCCATAACAATTAAAAACTAGAGACAACCTAAATATCTGTTAATGAGGAAATGATAAAATTACAGTATACCCTATACTATGAAGCTGTTGCAAAGAATCAGGAAGAAACCATGAAAGACTACCAAAAAAATAATAACTTCAGAGGTGGGTAAGAGCTTTTTCTAAGATTGACAGAAAATCTAGTAACCATAAAGGAAAAGATAAGACTCTCTCCGCAAACTTAAAAAAAATCTACATTATAGGGGTGCCTGCGTAGCTCAGTCAGTTAAACAATCAACTCTTGATTTCAGCGCAGGTCATGATTTCATGGTTCACGGGATCAAGCCCTACATCGGGCTCTGCACTAACAGCACTGAGCCTAATTAGGATTCTCTCTCTCCCTCTCCCTCTGCCCCTCCCAACCCCACTGCTCACGCAGGCACACACGTGTGCTCTCTCTCTCTCAAAATAAACTTGAAAATGTTTAAAAAAAACTACTTTATAAAAATAAAACAAAATCAACATAAAAAAGGTCAATGACAAAGACAAACTGAGAAAATAATACCCACAGCATACACTACAGGCAACAAGTTAATAACCGTACCATTAAAGTTTCTATTAAGCAGTAAGAGAAAGATAAATGGTCCAATATAAAAAATGGGTAAATGTCATAAGTGAGAAATTTATAGAAAAATAGAATTTTACTTAAAATTAAGGAAATGCAAATTAAGACACTAAAATACCATTCTTTCAACTTTCAGGCTACCACAATTTAAAAAGTTAGAAGGATGTAAGGAGGATGTTAGGCAACAGGCTCTTTCATAAGTTAGTGGGAATAGAGGGAAATTTTTTAAACAGTTAAAATTTAAAATTTGAAATATACACACTTTGGACCAAAATGACATTTAAAAAAATTTTATTTTCATGTTTGTTTATTTTTGAGAGAAAGAGAGAGAGAGTGTGAGCAGGGGAAGGGGCAGAAAGAGAGGGAGACAAAGAATCTAAAGCAGGCTGCAGGCTCTGAGCTATCAGTACAGATCCTGACACGGGGCTCAAACCCACTACCTGTAAGATCATAACCTGAGCCAAAGTTGGAGGGTTAACCACTGAGCCACCCAGGTGCCCTTGGAAATGACTCTTTTAAGAATATATCCTGCTCATGAAAGTGTGTTAATATGTATGTAGAGGGCCAGCACTATTTGCAATGAGTATCCATATAGAAATTAAATAAATTATATCCTACTCAGATGTTGGAATATTACACAAAATTTAAAAAATAATGCTGAAGCTAATAACAGGGATAAAAGAGAGTAAAGAAATATTCCAAGGAAAATCTTACCTGATCCACGGTATTATTAAGGTCCAAAGTATTAAGTATTAAAGTCCAAAACCTTATCGTATAAATGTCTCCCAAGTTCCTCAAACTTAAAATGGCCAAAAGTGGACTCATCATATTCCTATCTCCCCCTCCAAAGTAGGGACCTGCTCTCCCACCAGTTTGCTCTTTTCAAAAGTACATTCCATCTATCTATTCATAACAGTTTCAGAAACTAAGAGAATCATGCCTAATTCCTCCCTCCCTCTCACCTCGTCAATGACCTACCTGTGTCAGTTTCTCCAAAAAGTAGGTTCTATCTGTTCATTTCTTTCCTTCCTCAATGACTACCTTGATGTCAAAGCGTCCTAGCTTCCACCCCTTTGAAAGGAATCTTATAAAAACAAACACAATCTGCCAAGTCCAGCAGAAAATTATCCAATTCCTAGTACAGTGCTCAATAAATGTTTACTAATGAAATGAAGTGTAAAAAATTCCTTATATATGACAAATACGAAGGGAAATGTTTACAGCCACTAACGCTAATTGCCAGTCAACAATCATAACCTACTTATGTTATATTACATCAGGACTGCTCTTTATTTACATATTGTCTATAAAGAGGCAAGTTGGGCATCTACAATCCAACACTCCAGATTGTTTAACATAATTCCAATCTTTTGGTATAAAACAGTAGATCTTCAATTTTTCTTTTTTCATAGAAAAACAAAATTAGGATAATATTGGGTAACGGTAATGGCATATATTTTCACATGTAAGAAAAAGTATAATAAAATCTATCATAAAATATTAACAAGGCTTCATTAAAATAAAAGAAAAAGGATATTGTAACAATAGTAAAGTAGCAAAGACATAATTTCAGAATAAAGGAGAGTTCCAACCAAGAAAGGCCAGATGGCAACTGAACACCAACACATACCCACAAGCACGCGTGAACACTCCTACTCCCAACAGAGCATTGTCCTTCTTTCTAAATTTGTTACATGCCAGTTAAAACACATAACAGACAGGCACTGAGCTATTAGATCATATCTGGAAATCTGTTAGAGCATACTGAAAATTAAAATTCACACTTCTAATTCTTAAACCTAAAAAAAAACTTTTTTTTTTTTTTTTTTTTTTTTTTTTTTTTTTTTTTTTTTTTTTTTTTTTTTACCAATTTAACTCATTACACAAACTTTAGGGGAAGGACCTAACTGACAAATACAAAATCTAATGCTGTATGATGTTTCACCAGTGGAATTGCTGTGAATACCAGTTTGATATAAATTTAGAGCCCTAAACTAGAAAATCAGACCATCTGCTATGTCATTAATCAACTAAGTAGCCCAGGGAAAATCTTTTGGTCTCTCTGAACCTGATATTAAGATCAGAAAAACAGGTAGACAGACTAGTTTATCTTATAGAAAAAAACTTCCTAAACAAAAAAAAAAAAACAAAAACTTTATAGTATTTACATATGAAATCCAGAAGTGATTTCCCTTCTCAATTTTAACATTATACATATCCAACTGAAGTGACAGTAACCATGCCCTGAGAAGCTTCTTACCTCTGGTGTCATTTTCTATTTCCGTCCTCCAGCGATGTAAACAGCTTTCTAGCACAGAAAGTTCTTCCTCTGTGATGTGCCTTGGTGCTGGATGCATGGGCAGATCTGGAGGTATCCGAGACTGAGTGAACGGTTTATGTATGACTGATCTTGACGAAACGGCAGCTAGTGGTGCAGGTGATGTGCTTGGCAGTTCCGCAGAAGGGGCTCCCTGTTGTTCTGTTGTGCTGTATCATTAAAGCATGAAATATTTATTATTAAACTTCCTAAATGAAGCTCTGGACAAAAATTGCGCCAAACACGCATTAAATTGGCTTATATTTTCAAACAGAAAACTCCTTTAAAAAAGAGAAATATGTGGATTAATTTAATATCCAATGAGATCCCAATATATGAAGAATACATTATTATAATGATGAAATTGTGGCTTTATAGAAGAAATGGTTTAATCATGTCAATAAATCTTATGTATACTGGAATTATATAATATTTATCTGCTTACATTACAGAAAAAACTAACTTAATGGTATTTTCATGGATAAAAGGTGGAAATATATACCAAAACAACCTAAAGTACAATTCCAAACAGAAACAGATAAGATGAAAATTTCAATTCACATCCATAGAATCTCCTGAAACAGTAAAATAACAAAGCACCCAGAAAATATGCAATCTTCTAAGTGACTCTAATATTTTTACAGTCTACTAAAATAAATCACAATGTGCAGTTCATAAAACCTTTTTAAAGGCATCAATTATTACTGTGTAATATAGGTGAAAGAGCTGGCCCTTGTATAAAGAAAACTTTTTACCTTGGTAATGTCTGTGGTATGGAACCACTAGGTGGGGAACTAGCATCAATATCATCAACAGGAGATGTACAAACAGGTTTGCTTGAGGCAAATTCCAACGCATACTGTAGAACATCTACCAAGGGGAATCGTTTGGGACCCGAACCATAGCTTAAATATCTGTTAACCATAAAGTGTACAAATGCTTTTAGCTGTATATAAAGCACATTTGGTTGTTTTCAATAATTGTTATAAAACATGATAAAAAACACTTCAGTAAATCTTTTTCAACAATGAAATTAATTTTGCTTTCAAATGAAGATGTAAAAACTAAAGATACATTTAAGAAATAACTTATACGTTCTCTAAATTAAGGAAAACAAAGCTGATTACAACTGAATGTGTCCGTATACTGTTATAAATTTTAAACGCTGCTCTAAGTTGTAACCCAATAGGAAAATGAAAACAGACAGTTCCATATCCTGAGACTGTTTTTATTTTTAGATCGGTCATCTGGTCTCATGACTAAGATTGTGACTAATAGTATCATCCTACCTTTTACCTCTGATTGTTTTTTAATATGATTACTGATACATTTAAAAAATAAAAATTATTGAAATATGATATATTATTTTTGTTTAAAAAGTTTTGGGCTATTAATTTGAAAACTAACACTAAAACAAGAGATACAGATTAATCTGATGTTGCAAACTGGGACGTCTCAGGCCACATTTCAGCCTGTAGACTTTGTCTGAATTACAGAACATTTCTGACTGTCCAGATTCTGGCATCTTTTGGGAAGCTCTCAAATATTCACACGTGGTATCACATGTGACACCGCCCACTGGTGCAGACAGTAGACACTCCCTCTCCACAGAGATGTGACCTCTAGGCTCCTCTTGCCAACCAGCATACACATACTTGCTTCCCTTCTTTATAAAGCCTCCATGAGGCCCTAGTAGGCATCTGAGTTTGTATCTCCTATACTAAGGAGAAAAAGTCACCATTCATTTTAATTGAAATCTCAAGAGTGATATTTAGTCTCCTACAAGCAGAAAATTTTAGATTAGTTTAACTTTGTTTCTTTTGTTTGTTTGTTTTTTTAAGTAATTTCTTCATCCAATGTAGGGCTCAAACTCACGATACAGAGTTCAAGAGTCACATGCTCTACTGACTAAGCCAGCCAGGTGTCCCTTTTTTTTTGGATTTTTTTAAAGATTAGTTTAACTTTGCATGTATTTTTCAGTACCATGAGCATTACTACTCGACAGTAAAAATACTTAATTTTAAACACTAAAATAAAATTTAATATCAACTATAAATTAGTTTCTAACAAAATTCAAAACTAAACTACTCAAGCAAAATATCAGTCCAGAATGATTACTACTAGAATTATAAGTCACCCAAAGCAAATTTAAAATGAAAGATTTCAGAGAGTCACTAAAAATATGACTTCCTATAGTTAGCTCATAACTTCTTAAAGCTGTAATACCTTTCTAGTCTTTGTTGTAATACTGTGAGGTAATCTTTTAGTCTCTTGATTTCTTCCCTCTTAATTCTTGTTATTTCTCTGTTTCTGTGCATATATCTATAGGAAAAAGAAAAATTAACATTACCATTTCTAAATATCATGGAAATAGACACAATATTAAGTCTAGCCAACACCACAGAAGATCCATTCATTTAAAATTTTACAATCAAGTATTATACAATACAAAATAGTATTTTTTAAAATTCTGACAACTGTAATACAAATATAAATTTTTTAACTTCCTTATAACATTATTCCCAGTAACTATACTTTTCTAACTAGAAAGAGAACTCCACGTTCCTTGACAAACAGTATTCAACATATTATGCAAAAAAGTAATGATTAATTCTAAAGAAATTAAGCAAAAATTTTCTCTAAACACAATAATAATTCTTTACTTGGTTACTAAACAGTTGTAAAATTAAGTCATGCTGTATAACAAATGATACCTGTCCAGATATAAAACTTGAGGAAATTCTAATTTGTTGTGAATTTTTTCTGGTCTTCCCAATGCCTGATTAAATTCAAATCTTGATAATTCAAATGTTAACACAGGTGGTAATTTGGTAAACCAATGCTGAAAGAAAATAACAAAAAACCTTATTATAACCTTTTTGTTCTCTCCATTACAATGTTAGGCACAGAGTATTATCACTGGCATTTTTATATGTATCATCACAATGCTGACATCACAAATACTTGACTAGGTATGCAAATTAGTTAAAATTCAACTTCTTCCCAAAAGTTTTCCATACCTCTTGAAAATTCTAAGGATGGGAATAATACTCAACCAGGAAAGAAAAAAAAAATTTCTAACAACTCTCCTTCTTCCATGATAATTTTTTACATTAAAATTCCTAACAAAGGGCTGCCTGGGTGACTCAATAGGTTAAGTGTCCAACTCTTGATTTCAGCTCAGGTCACGATCTTGCAATTTGTGAGACTGAGCCCCAAGTCGGGCTCTGCGCTGACAGCACAGAGCATGCTTAGGATTCTCTCTCTCCCTCTCTATCTTTCTCTCAAAATAAATAAATACCTTAAAAACTTTTCTAACCTAAAAAAGATAGACATTGGTTGAAATTATGGTTTAATAGCTCAAGTATCTGCCTTCTTCAATATTATCTCACTATTACTACCAGAAATGATCATACACTTACTACAATTGACCACCATTCAAAACCTTTGACAAAGCAACTTGTAGGATGTAGCGTGCGCACGCACACACACACACACACACACACACACACACACAAAATATATTCTTAGAGCATAAATGATCACAGTTCCCACACTAAAAACTAGAGACTGATATTTCCCTGTTTTAAATTTAATTTTCCTACTGGAATTCTAATTTAAGAAAAAGATTACTAACAAATATGAAATTTATACTAATGGTAACTATATTTATAATCTTTTTAAATGACTAGTGTTTAAAAAATTAAATGTCTCATTATGATGAGCCAGCCAATTCATCCACAAACTTCGGCAACTGTTTAGTTAAGCATGAAATGTAACAAAACCTCGAAAGAAAATTATTTTCATAAAAAAAGATTCAAGTTTTACACAAAGATATTTTTTAATATTTATTTATTTATTTTGAGAGAGAGAGAGAGAGAGAGAGAGAGAGAGACAGAACATGCACACGAGTGGGACAGAGGCAGAGAAACAGAGGGAAAGAGAGGGAGAATCTGAAGTAGGCTCTGTTCTGTCGGCACAGAGCTTGACATGGGACTGATCCCATATGATGAGATCATGACCTGAGCCAAAAATCAAGAGTCAGCCACTGAGTTAACCGACTGAGCCACTCAGGCACTCCTACATAAACATAATTTTTTTATTAAGTTTATTTATTTGAGAGAGAGAGGGAGAGAGAGCAAGAGCCAAGCATGGAGGGACACAGAGAGGGAGAGAGAGAGAATCCCAAGCAAGCTCTGCACTGTCAGCACAGAGCCCAACTCGGGGCTCAATCTCACAAACTGTGAGATCATGACCTGAGCTGAAACCAGGGTTGGTCACTTAACCAAGGGAACCACCCAGGTGCCCTAACTACATAAACATATTTTTAAAGAATGAAGAAAAATTCATGAATCACCAAATAAAATATAAAATAACGTAACAAATATTTTTAAATACTTATTATAAAGTGTACAATGTACTACTATAAAAAGTAATTGCTACACATGGTGGTAATTTCAAGAGCCACAAAGTGCCACCACGCATGTCAAGAGGCTAAGAGTACACTAATTTAAATTCAAACATCCCAAAAAGCAGGAACAATGCACATTTGGCAAACTGAATTTGACTAAGATCTTAAAAGTTGCTACTTTTCTCTAAATAAAGCTAATAAATGTAAATGGTTATTCAAAACTATTTCTGCCTCCCCAAACGCTAATTATGATTACATGAATTGCAATTTCCTGAGTTAGATTCGGTTTCTATTTAACCAAAAGCTGAAGTTGAAGAAATGTATTTTATATGGCTATTGAAACTGAAGTTGACTGGAAAGTTACAAAAGAGCTAACACCAGAAGCATCTCTTAAGTTTTAAAATCTCTTGAGCAAAGTCTGCTTATTTATTTGTTCTCACATGGCACTGGCAAAAATTTTAGTTAATTCTAATGCAAAACTAAAGTTAGTATTTAAATTAAGTCATACTACATATATGTCATAAAGAAAACTTTTGATGCCTTAGGATAATATTCTCTACTCCAATTTATGATACTAAAGTAAGTAAGTAGGTTTCAAGAACTATTACTTTCATATTTTACTGCAGTATTTTAAATGTCAACCATTAAAATTAAATAGTTACATACTTTAACTCATGGAAACCTACCATGGCCAATAGAAATAAAATCATCCAAATTGGGCATATGCTTCTCTGTAGACCATGAAAAGTCCAGGAAATAACTTCCATACTTTAAGAAAGAATGTTTATAATAGTTATGTAATATGTCTCCGTTGTGACTGTTTTTACTCTAACAACAGTGACAGTTTTTTTCATATTACAAGAGTGGAAGGATTTCACTTTCTTATTTTTTTTTTATTTTTTTTAAACATTTATTTATTATTGAGAGACAGACACAGAGTGTGAGCAGGGGAGGGGTAGAGAGAGGGGGAGAAACAGAATCTGAAGTAGGCTCCGGGCTCTGAGCTGTCAGCACAGAGCCAGATTCAGGGCTCGAACTCACAAACTGAGATCATTATCTGAGCCAAAGTTGGTCGCCCAACCAACTGAGCCACCCAGGCGCCCCAATTCACTTTCTTATTCTAAAGCTGATGGGACAAGAAGAGACAGCCAGACATTCCTTTAATTCATCTTAGAAAATATTACAGGTTTGTCTAGCATAAGTATAGCAGTAGAGAACTAGAATTTTACATATACAACAATCAGATGTTTTTCTTTCAGAATATTATTTTTGTATTCAATAAAAAACTGTATTTACTTCTCTAATTGGCATGCCATGCTTGTGAGACACAAGTCATTAAAGGTAAAAATAAGGCTTTATTCTTTTCTGTAAACACATTTATTATTTATTATATTATATTGTATAACAACCCTACAGAAGTAACAGATTAGGGCAGTGAATAAAAAAAATACATAATCAACATGGGCAACAAAAATGCTCCTGAACTTATTATGACTATAACAAATATTTTCTAGACGGAATGTAATAATTTTTATGAGTTCTAATAGCTGATTTTTCTATTAACATGTTTTAAATACCTTGCTTTTGTGATTTTACATGAACACAGGGAGCAGCAGACAGAAAAAGCAGACATACCGTTTCAGATTCTCACAGAACACCAGACAAAACCAGGATATAAATTAAGCATGAAAAGCAAAAACTTCCTATTCCAACTCAAAAATTAGTTTTAGTCATTTAATCAGCTTCACACATTTGCCCTTTCACTTTCTTTTTAAGTTTATTTATTTATTTTTAATTTACATCCAAGTTAGTTAGCATATAGTGCAATAATGACTTCAGGAGTAGATTCTAGTGATTCATCCCCCATGTATAACAACCAGTGCTCATCCCAACAAGTGCCCTCTTTAATGCTCCTTCCCCATTTAGCCCCTCCCCCCACCCACAGCCCATCTAGTACCCTCAGTTTGTTCTCTGTATTTAAGTCTCTTATGTTTTGCTCCCTCCCTGCTTTTGTATTATTTTTGCTTCCCTTCCCTTATGTTCATCTGTTTCGTATCTTACATTTCACATATGAGTGACGTCCTATGATATCTGTCTTTCTCTGACTTATTTCACTTAGCATAATATCCTGTAGTTCCACCCACGTTGTTGAAATTGAAAACGGACTACAAAGTGCCTTTTCACTTTTAAAGATAAATTTCCCATACAACATTTACCTATGTCTAATATAGTACATGTAGGTGCTGTTTCCCTAATTTAGTTTCAAAGCTCCATAAAATTTCTCTTAGTACTCTGACTATAACTTAGTACAGCTTTGTGAAGGGAAATTTGGCAGTACTTACATTTTTACATGAGTACGCCTGGTGACCCAAAGATCCCGCTTCTGACTATCCTTCATTCCTAAATTCTCAAGGGTATTTATACATAAGCATTCTTTAAAATTATTCTTTGTCCAACTACTGTCTTACAGAAGAATTAAAACTGTTTAATTTTAGAAATACAGGCTATTTGATACTATGCCGGTTTTAAAAAGAATGGTGTAAAGCCATATACATTCACATGGAATGATGTTCGTGATACACTAGTGGGTGAAAAATGCAAGTCGTAGGATAGTACAAATACTTATATGTGAATAGCAGTAATCAAAAGAAAATGTACAACACACTATTTATAGAAGTGAGGTATTTACTCTCTGAAATTTTTTTGCTCCAACAGGCAATCAAAAAAATCTCCGGCTTTCCAAGATCGTTTGATTCATCCATAAATTGCATACAATTTCATTAAAATTTAAAATTTATGATTTATAAAAATATTTGTACAGTTATCTTACATATAATCATTTTTAATTTATTCAGTTGTCTCTTGATATGTCATTCCAGAAATTTAAACTCTCATAGGCCACATCGGATATTTTAACACGAGTGATTCAGGAGACTAGAGGTCTTCTCTATTACTAGACTACAGCTATTTCAGCAAAGCAGATGTTTTCTGTATCAAAGTAAAATCAATAATTTTTACTAAATAAGAGTGTAGGAGATAGTGTAGGAGTAGGGACTATGCGAATTTAGAAACAAACCTAAAATGTTATTCATTGGTCTTTATAGATACTTAGGAAACAAAACAGTTATTCTGAAAGACATAATGAAATAAGGCTATAATTTAAGCACACTATTATAAACTTTTAAGACAGTCTACTTTAGTCAGTGATAGTCTCTTAAATCAGGCTAAATTATTATTGAAACTAATGTGTCCTGCAAATCTAGGCAACTGGTAATAGGAATCACAGGTAATTGAATTTGCTATTATTAAGACTGCTTACAAACTGCTGAATTCAGAGGAAACAAATGACTGTACCCCTTAGGTTGGATGTAAAAACCCAGGCAGAAAATACATACTACAGTATAGGGCATTCAGAGTATGAAGCCAAAGATGGAGAACAAACTAGAGCTTTTAAGATAAATGAAATTCATATTCAATGTAAGAAAAACATTTTTAAAAGCTGCGAATATGTGAGAGAGATTATTTACCAATTAATTTCTAAATTATTTACCAATAAACCAATGTCTATTTCACTTATAAGTCAGTTTGATAGAGTAAGGAGAATGTCATCCCTCCTTTCCCTGCCCCAACCCGTCATCCTTTTATTAAACAGAAAACAGATCACATTTTGGGGCAGAGTGGGGAGGGGAATCTGCTTTCTTGTTCCATTATAGGATCCTAGGAGAGTCCCAATCTTTAGAGACTAATTTAAAGCCTAATTTAAATATTCTTTAAGCCTAATTTAAATATTCTTAGTTGGACGTCTATATGGGAATCAGGGGCGGAGCTCTTGGGCCCAGGTACCATATCCCTACCGGAGATTCTGATGGACAGCTCTGAAGCAGAGCTTAGGCATCTGCTGAGACTCACTAAAGTAGATGATCTATGATGTAGAGAGCAAAACTATCTCAAATATTTTCTCTTTTTCCCCCGCTCTCTCCCCACTCTTAAAAACAAAAAGCCAAAAAAGAGTAAATGTTATTTCTTTCTTTTTTTGTTGGGTACATAAGAGAAGGAAATGAGGATGAAGAACAAAAAAATGATTAATCATATCTTTTTCTAAACAAAAAGCACAAATTTAGATACATGCAATTTATTTTCAAAGACACAAGAACTCAGCCCCTTTTTATATAAACACAGAGCTATCATCACTTAATATTTATTAAGCACCTCTTCAGGGATAACGACCTCAGAAACTTTTTTGGTAACATTGAGACATTTCATTCATTCAGTCATTACATAATTCTACCTGCGGTCACTGTACTATCCACTAGGGCTATGTGGAGAATAACACGTATGAAGCTCTCTACCCTCCGGAATAGAGCTTACAAGTAGACAACTATCAGCAACTGCTTAATGATAAGCGATTTTGCAGCACATGATCTGTCCTTTGCCTTCTATTCTAGTAACACACATGGATGAATTTACGGATGGGTGGATGGATATACAGATGGATCTAGAGACACGAATGAAAAGACAGAGATCAGTGGAAACAAACAGGTTTGTATTTTTTAAGTTATAACTCTCTTGAGAAAGCCAAGTTCTTCCATCTGCTCTTCATGCAATTACACAGTAATTTTACCAAAAAGGGAATCTAGACAAATTCCAACACTATTTGATATTAGTAACATATGTCTATATAAAATTCCACCCTCCTATCAGTGTTTTTCTTCCTCACTTCCAGGACTAGCATGACACAGTGACTGGTACCTTCCTTAAAAATTCTAAACAGACTTAACAATGTCCTAAAAGAAGGCTTTAACAGAAAATTTTAAGCTAAATTGTTTAAGTGAGAATTTAATGTAAGATTACAGACTTGTTTGTGCAGGTTTCCCAAATGTCTAAATTACCATAATTAAATCCAAACACATAATCTGAGTATTCTCTCAAGTATTAGGCAGCTATATAATTAGAGCCTTAAATTATACTTTGCAGCAGTGTAAGAAAGACCTGGGAAGAAATGAAAAATGAAGATGCTAAACTCACCTCTTGGCCTGATTTGCCTGAATTCTCTGAATGTAAGGACTCAATTTCTCCTTCAATCATAGCAGCTTCTAGGCACTCATGTAGATCTTTGAATCCATTGACCTGAAGCGGGTACTGACCAAACATTTCAGTATTTTCAAATTTTTTCCCTACGGAAGAAGGGAAAGTTAATTGTTACTCAATATGGCCTTTTAACCACTAAAAGTAAATGTGTATGAATTACCTCCTGAACCTGAAAACCATAACTCTGATTATGTTCCACAGAGTAGTCATTGTAATTTTCTTGTTGGTTTATACATGCACATATGCACATTCACATCGAACCATAGATATCAATTACACACCTGTATATATGGAAGTAATTATATGTATGTGTGTGTAAATACATATATTCTTTCAAAAAATACTTTCTAAGGACAAGATACTGTGCTAAACACTGAGAATATGTATAGCAGTGGATGAAACATATATATGGTCCCTGAGCTGAGGAAACTCTCAGCCTCTTTTGGAAGAACGACATTACACATATTAATTGCACATATAATTATGAACAAAAAATTACTTACCGTTATAAGTGCTATAAAAATTTGTGGTAAAACAGAGTAATGTGAGAGGGTATGAAAAGGAGAGCTAACCTAGTCGTTAGGGCTGGAGGGTAAAGCAGAGAAGACTTCCATAGCAAAATGACATTTACACTGAGACTTGAATGGTGAGTAGGAGTTAGCCAGGCCAGAGTGTCAGGGTGCTGTGGAGAATTCTTGGCTAAGGGACAACACATGCAAAGACTTCAAGGATGCAAAGAACTTGGCATATCTGAAGGCTTAAGGGGAGGACATTATTCCTTAGGGGAGCAACAGGAAGATGATAATGAAGAATCAGGTAAGGGGACAAAATCTATAAAGCTTTAGAAGCCCATGTTAAGAATTTTTTTCTCCTCAATATATTTGGAGTATAACAGAAAGTCACTGAATAGTTAAATCTAGGAATAATAGGATCAGATTTTTATCTTTGAAACATCTTTATGGCTTCTGTGTTAAATAGATGGTAGACTGTTAGAAGACTTAAAGAATCCATCTAGAAATAAAGGCAGTGTGGGATAGGGTGTTAATAGTAAAAGTGCACAAAAGCAGATGAAATTTTTATACACATATTCAGGAAGGAGTATTTATGATTGACTGGTGGTTCATTGGCAGGAAAGGGGACAGAAGAGTAAGGAAGGTATCAAGAATGATACTCGGATTTCTAGCATAAGCAATTCAATTGATTGTTTATGTTCTAAAAGGGGCTCCACTAAATAAAGAGCAGAGCATTTTTTTTTCCTTTTGTTTTAAGGCAGTAGTGGCAATCACAGTTTTAGGCCCATGGCATTTCCAGTTGAGAAGAGAGTTGGATATGAGTCTGTAACTAAAATTAATCTTCTGGTCTGAAGCTATAAATGAGAGAATTGCTGGCTACTGACAGTGGTGGATCAAGAGAGTGAATGAGACTCTGCCGAGGGAAACTGGCAGACAGGAAAAGGCAGGGGGCCTGAGCTGAGTCCCAAGGATCTCCTACCTTTAGATAAAACAGGAGGCTATAATTACAACTTCTAAGAAGTAGCCGCAGAGATAGGGAAAAACAGCCAAGGGAATATGGTACCATAGAAGCCAGAGAAGTGTTTTTAAGGACTGAATAGTAAAAAAGAAAAGGAACAGGGGTGCCTGGGTGGCTCAATCGGTTAAGCATCTGACTTCAGCCCAGGTCGTGATCTCACGGTTCATGGGTTCAAGCCCCACGTCGGACTCTGTGCTGACAGCTCAGAGCCTGGAGCCTGCTTCAGATTCTGTGTCTCCATCTCTCTCTGCCCCTCCCCTGCTCATGCTCTATCTCTCAAAAATAAATAAATGTTTTAAAAAATTTAAAAAAAAAAGAAGAAAAGGGACAAAGAATAAATAGCATGAATAGTTGATAAGAGTTCAATAGGAGAACTAAGTGGAATCTGACAGCCTTGAACACATATTAGAAATTGATAACCTTAGAAAGTGCTCTTTTAGAAGAAGTCTGGGGCCAGAAGCAAAAGTGGGATGGGATGAATAAATGGGGACTTAGCAGGTAAAAACAAACTCCTCTCTCAACTGAATGAGATTAACTGGAAGACTATGTGAAGGGAGCTCTTTTTTGTTTACAATGGGAGTTACAAGACCACATCTAAATATTGATGAGGAAGACAGTGGAGGGAGAAGCTGAAAATACAGGAAAAAGGCAAGATAACAAAGAGGGCAAGGTCTGAGTGAAAGCATGAAGGGATGAGATTCTGAGAACACATAAACAATAGCCTTTGGAAGTAAGACTGAATAATTCCTTATTATCTGGAAGGACAAATAAAAAGAATGTGGTATAGGCTGGGATGGATCCAGGTTGTGGAGCCTGAAACTCACATATTTGAGAAACTTGCTTTTTAAGACCTAAGATAGAAAATTACAAACAAAATTAGATTCGGGACCTTAGGACCTCTGGTTAGATTTCTTAGCTTCATGGTAAATCCATAAAACCTGAAGGAAGGTCTTTCTGAGTGAATGAAGAGACAGAGAGGTTAAATTAGAAACAGAAAAGGTAAGGAGTGCATTGGTATTGGTTGCTCAGTAGCTTGAGTGTCCAACTCTTGACTTTGGCTCAGGTCACAATCCCAGGGTCCTGGGATCGAGTCCCATGTTGGGCTCCATGCTGAGTGTGTGGAGCCTGCTTAAGATATTCTCTCTCTCTCTCTCTCTCTCTCTCTCTCTCTCCCTCTCTCTTTCCCTCTACCTCTCCCCCTCTGCCACTGTGGGTGCACGTGCATTCTCTCTAAACTAATTTTTTAAAAAACAGAAAAGATAAAAATTGTTATTGCAGAAAATGGGATAGAAGACAGTGATTTAACAAAACAAGTAAGGATGCCAGGTAGTGTCACAGGATTGGGACCAGGGACACTTAGTATATGCTACAAATTCATGGAACATTTCTAGTTTGCCCACTGAGTGACTTTTCCCCAGTGATACTCGGGTACTTGGTGCACACAGAGAGAAAATGAATATCCCAGTGACAGTCAGAGAACAGCCAGAGAGGTAATGGATGGGGAATGGGGGAAAGGGAGTGTTAGAGATTTCTAAGAATGATCATAATGGGCAAAGAAGTAAGTAAAGAAAAGGGCCTAGAGGAATAAAATGAAAGGGTCAATGGACTAGATGTTCTGGAAAAGTTGAGGAACTTTTGCAACGAGGGAACTTTAGAAAGCAAATGAAAATCACCTCCAATTGAGAGCCTCTGGTCTAAAAGAAAGCATTAAGAAAATATATGTAAAAGTGATAAGAGCAAGAAACCAAATCATTTTTACTGAAGCAAATACATAGGTCGTGTGGAAATGTACTAAAATCACATTTATGTAGAATAGTTTTGAAACAACTAATACCCAGTACCAGGACTTCAATACTGATTGACAAATTAACTATTTCAATAAACCACTTTTTTTTAATGTTTATTTATTTTTGAGAGAGCGTGAGTAGGGGAAAGGCAGAGAGAGAGGGAGACAAAGAATCTGAAGCAGGCTCCAGGTTCTGAGCTGTCCGCACAGAGCCCTACACAGGGCTCAAACTCACAAACTGTGAGATCATGACCTGAGCCAAAGTCAGAGGCTTAACTGACTGAGCCACCCAGGTGCCCCAATAAATCACTTTCAAGAATCAAGGTAACAGAAGTAGAAAGGGTATAAATAGTACACAGTCAACCTGATTAGAGCCACCCTACTGCTTCAAATACAGTGCTCTACTTCAAGTAAAAATCAGTAGGACAGTATGGACAATCCAAACTGGAAAATATCCCACCATTTATATAATGAATATTCAGTATTTGAGGCAACAATTTTAAAAAATGTACTGACAGTGTAACCTTTTAAACGCCTGACTGAATCCTGAGTTAATGTCTGCCTTCTTCTGAATCCCAAATTATAAAATTATGTTCAAACAAAACTTCATAGGAATCCATTACTTAAGATCCTGAAGGAAAACCAATTTTCCAAATTTTATAGTTCAAGTGATTTGGGTTAACTTTCTAAAAGTTGATGTGCTGGGCCATTTGAAAATTTGGAAAATGTTTCAAATTTTTTCAAAAATTCATGCTTTGGGATTAGTAATTATTAGTATTTGAAGTATATCTAATGAGTCCTTTCCCTTCCCTTGTTAGGAAAACCGAAGAGTAACTGGTTAGACTCAGATTTAAAGTAATAGGCATTTAAGGCAGATAGAGTAGTGTCACTCTTAAATGATTTTTTCAAAAGAGTACACTTCTTTCTTGAAAACTAGAACCTAAAGAATTTTATAATCACCCCAAAAATGCAATACCCTGATTATGCTACATTGTTAAATGCAGCTTTCAACATTCATAGACTTGAAATTCTCAAAAACACTGATCATCATAGCAAAACCAGTATTCAACTCCAATATCATTTTCAAAACCAAATGTCCCCTTAATCCCTGTACCCCCAAATTCACAGAATCACAGAAGCCTTCTTAGGGAAAGACTATTAGCATAACATTAACCCGGTATAAATTAGTATGTGACAACAGACCTTTCTCTAGGAAAGACTATTAGGATAACATTAGCCCAGTATAAATTAGTATGTGATAATAGACCTTGTACCTTCCTCTTCATTCACTCAATTCTGTGTTTTCTGTGCAAGTGATTAGTAGTTACAATGCAACATGAACCAGTAGACAGAATAAGTCAAATTAAAATTAAAAACCAGTCAACAAATAAGGAGTCACTATCAAGACAAGAGCTAATCGATAATAATATCCCTTCAAATGTAATAAATAAAAACATGTGTAACCATACCTTCAAGTACTCCCACAGCAAGGAATCTCCCATAGAACAACTCTACCATGGGGTTCTTTGGCTTCTCTTCATCCCTAAAGCATGGTATAAAACATAAATGTGGTTATAATTTTTGTATCTGTATGTAACAGAGAAAACATTAAAAGAACAATATATGCCAAGTCAGTGACATTTATTTATGTGATTGTCACTCACTCAGGGCTGCTATTTACATCACCTCGGATAAGGCACTTAAACTTAGCCTTCCATTTTTTCACATGTCAACTGAGGATAATAATAGTAATTGAACTCAAAGAGCTGTTGTAGGGTTAAAATGGCACAACATTACAAGAAGACCTACCCATGGGGGAGGGGAAGGAAAAAAAAAAAAGAAGTTAGAGTGGGAGAGAGCCAAGCATAAGAGACTCTTAAAAACTGAGAACAAACTGAGGGTTGATGGGGGTGGGAGGGAAGAGAGGGTGGGTGATAGGTATTGAGGAGGGCGCCTTTTGGGATGAGCACTGGGTGTTGTATGGAATCCAATTTGACAATAAATTTCATATATTGAAAAATAAAAATAAAAAAATAAGTAAATGTATTTTAAAAATTAAAAAAAAAAAGTGGAGAAATCCTGAAAACAAAAACAAAAACAAAAACAAAAACAAAAACAAAAACAAGAAGACCTGACATAGTCTATGCTCAAGGAGTACTGATCTTCTCCTTATCATTGTTCATTCTGATCTCATACATTTATTCTATGCAATACATGCTTATTTGGACTTGTTGGGAACAAAGAAAAGCCACCCTTAATCAGAGGCAATTTCTGTAAATTTTTAATATGTAATCTCCCAAATTTAAAATAGAACAGTATACAACATTCAAAGATAAATAACAGCCTGTCACAATGAAGGAGCAAAACACCGGGTTTGACCCAAAGTAGCTAAGGAGCTACTCCATCCTTCATGATGCAGGCACAAGTAGTCATTTGTGAATTTTCCAAATTATTTATCAGATACATTGTTTTCTTCTTTTTCTTTTTCCCTTGAAGCAAATAGAAGTTGACAATTTTTTTAACCTTTTCTTTTTGTTTTACTCTCTGTGGTCTGAAAACAGTTTATCTTGGCATTACTACATAAAAGTGTGTGGTATCCACAACTGTGTATAAAATTTATCTTCATAAATTTTGTGTTTAAACCAATAAAACTGATTTGCTAAAAAAAAAAAAAAAAGGTGGGGGATGGGTGAAGGACACTGTGTCTTTATAAATGTGCATCACCATTTACTCCTTAAAACAACTGGTGGGAAGGACTTCACTTCATCGTCACAACAATCCTATGAGGTAGTATGGTAGTTGTCAGTACTATTCAAAAAGATTTCTGGCCTCAGCGCCTGGTGGCTCAGTCAGTTGAGCTGCTGACTTCAGTTCAGGTCATGATCTCGCTATTTGTGAGTTCAAGCCCCATGTCGAGCTCACTGCTATCAGCACAGAGCCAGCTACTGATCTTCTGTCTCCCTCTCTCTGCCCCTCCCTTGCTTGTGCGCTCTCTCTCTCTCAACAAAAAAAAAAAGATTTCTGGCTCTCTAGTTTCAGGTACATGGTTAAGATATACTTTCCCACTCACATTTTATTTACATTAAAAAAAATTAATGTTTATTTATTTTGAGAGAGAAAGAGGGAAGAGAGAGCACACAGAGAGAGAATCCCAAGCAGGTTCCTCACTGTCAGCTCAGAGTCCAATGGGGGGCTCTCGATCTCAAGAGTTGTGAGATCACGACCTGAGCCATGAGAGTCAGATGCCTAACCAACTGAGCCACCCAGACACCCCATTTAAAAAACTTTTAATTAGGGTAAGATACACATAAAATTTACCATCTAACCATTTTTAAGTGTTTAGTCGGTAATGTTAAGTATATTCATATTGTTGTGCAACCAGTCTCCGGGAGTCTTCTCATCTTGCCAAACTGAAACACAACACTCCCTGAACAACTCCACACTTTTCCCTCCCTCCCAGGCCTTGGCAACCACCATTCTTACTTTGTTCCTATGAGTTTTACAACTCTTGACACGTCACATAAGTGGCATATGGTGTCTATCTTTTGTGACTGGCTTATTTCACTAAGCATCCATGTTGCAGCATGTGTCAGGATTTCCTTCTTTTTTAAGGATATTCCATTGTATGTATACCACATTTTATTTATCTATTCATTTATCTATTTATCTATTCATCATTCATCTATTATATTATCTATTCATTTGGGTAGTTTCCACCATTTGGCTATTGTGAATAATGCTGCTATGAACATGGGTGTACAAATATCTCTTTAAGACCCAGCAGAATTGTTGGATCATATAATCTTTATGAGGCATAAGTGACAAAATCTAAAGCATGCAACGTGAAGATTTGATATATGTATACATTGTGAAGGTATTCCTTCCATCAAATAGTAATTCTATTTTTAATCTTTTGAGGAAGCACAGTGATGTTTCCCAAGCAACTGCACCATTTCACATTCCCATTAACAGTGCACAAGGGTTCCAATTCTTTTCACATCCATGCCAACAGTTGTTATTTTCTGGGGGTTTTGATGGTAGCTATCCTAATGGGTATAAAGCGTTCTCACTCACTTTGAACTCAAGTGGACGACATGACTTGCTCTGCCCAACAAAGCGTGAGCAGAAGTGATGTGTGGCAGAAACTTTGAGAGCCCATGTACTTTCACTGCTGTGGTGATCCCAGAAGAGGTAATGAGGCAAAGCCTCTGTCACCCCTGGGCTTGAGCAAAAGAATGGGCACAGCCCCTTGCTCACACCCAATGGACACATCTAACAATATAAGACTGTAAACTGTTGGGGTTGTTGTCACTGGACTATCTGGTAGTATAATTATCTGATAACAGGTAGTATAATTACCTCTATTGTACTAATAAAGCTATAAAGCAAGTTAAGTCACTTGCCCAAATTCCCAAAATTAGTAAGTGCTCAAGCTGTGAAGTGGACTCAAATCTGACACCAAAATCAATGTATCCTCTCCCACTACCTATATTTAGTCTTTGGGCATTTTAACTCTATAGGAAAAATTTACTTCATACCTTATGTATTTTACACTGTGAGAATAAAAAGGACTTAAGACTGATATGGGAAACAGGAATAATCCAAAGACTGTCTCTCTTGATGCAAAAATCTATGAATCTTTAGATGTGAATATTAGCGGGAATCTCCTTCCCGTGGCCTCTTGTTTTTATGTAGGAAATCAACATTCCTGACTTTTCTCCTTATGGTCACACACGTACTCCATGAGCAATAACTTCCCAGGTTGGTGACTTGCCAGAAGAAACTGGATGTTGAGCAGCTCTCCCAATTCTGAATGTACTTTCTAAATCCTTTTCAAATCATCCTGCCTGAATTTTGTCCTACTCTCCACTAATCTGTGGTGAACACTGACCTTCCCTGATCTTCTAAACTTCTAAACCCAGAACACTGATCTTCTAAAAATTGTTTACCTTGTCCTTTCCAACCTCTCAGAGGTCCTATTCTTTGCCCGGCATTTATTTTTTTTTTTTAATTTTTTTTTAACATTTATTCATTTTTGAGTGGGGAAGGGACAGAGAGAGAGGGAGACACAGAATCCGATGCAGGCTCCAGGCTTTGAGATGTCAGCACAGAGCCTAATGTGGGGCTCAAACTCACGAACCGCGAGATCATGACCTGAGATGAAGTTGGACGCGTAGCCAACTGAGCTACCCAGGCGCCCCTCTTTGCCCTGCATTTAAACTATGAATCTCAGGGGCCCAGACTGGTTATACCAACAGAAAAGTAAGGAACGCAAGTGAAGACCAATTAAAAAGACACAAGATTCCTGTAATAAAAATGAGAGAGACCCACCACTTGCATGAAAGCAGTAGTAAAGATAGACTGACACAAATAACAAAGGCCAAAAGAAATCACTACAGAAAATTTGTATCAGGGACATCTTATCTTTGGGAATTAGGCTGGAACAGGAATTCAAAGGCCTAGGATAGCTAACAGAGTCACAGCTTCCCAATCTTTTTAACACCTTTGGTACATATATAATATATTCAGAGAACTCTGAGGTAAAAAGACATATTTTCTCATGGTCACAGAAATAGAACCAATATCTCCACATACCCATATCTGGCTAGCCATGCCACACCAACTGGGAAGCTCTGTTTTAAAATATTTTTTTTCCACGTTTTTATTTATTTTTGGGACAGAGAGAGACAGAGCATGAACGGGGGAGGGGCAGAGAGAGAGGGAGACACAGAATCGGAAACAGGCTCCAGGCTCCGAGCCATCAGCCCAGAGCCCGACGCGGGGCTTGAACTCACGGACCGCGAGATCGTGACCTGGCTGAAGTCGGACGCTCAACCGACTGCGCCACCCAGGCGCCCCTGGGAAGCTCTGTTTTAATAGGGAGAGGCATTCAAAAATAGTTTTAGCTCCACAAACAGTTAAGAGCAGATAGAAAATTATGGGGAAATGAACATGGAGAACATATTTCAAATAAAAGTTAAGATTTCAGGTGAATTGGAATCAAAAAGTTCCAGCTTCTTTTAAAACAGTTTTAGAAAAAGGGGAAATAATCTGTTAGTTACTAGGTCAGAAAAGGTGACTAGAACCCAAAGAAAATTAACATATAAATAAATAATAAACAAGATCTCCAAAATCAAGATAAAATGCCCCCCCCCCCCCAGAAGGAATAAGGATTTAGACACCCTTCTATGGAAACAGGTAAAAAGCAATTGGGGATGATATACTAAAGATAGGATAAACTAAATGAAGTACTTTTAGAAAATCTGGATAGGTTTGAGAGGAGGAACTAGGGATTTCAGGGTAAAATTCAAAGAATTACTGACAGAACTTCAGAGACTCCGTTATCACAGACGTGAGGATACAGATACTATTCACACTCTCAGGAAACATGCCCAGTGAATTTTTGGTATTAGAACTCTAAGGAAAGATACAAGGGACATGAGCTGTACAAGACAGAAACCAGGGTGGACAACTCTCATGGATCAGGGTCTGCTAACTCTCATTATGAGGCACCTATCAAGACAATATCAAAGGGATAAATTAGAAAAAAACAAACGTAAAGGCCAGAAAACAAACCCAAAGAATAGGAAAAAAAAAGACACTCATCCAACAAACAGGGCTGGCTCTGCATGACATACAGGCTAAGAAGCAGGTTAAACTGTTAAAAATTCAGCCAAATCGTCCTAAAAGAAGAATAAAATACACAAGTATGTGAACTTAAGAGGCATATGCCACCCAGAAAAAAGATGCAGCAGAAAGAAATATACACAAGGTGTTGAACATTCAAAAGCTGAGGAAAGAGTGTAAGATGCTGGGACTCAGGTTTCAGATGCATCAACCGCAGATTCATTTCAGGTATCTGATGGGGAGATTTTCCAGATGAAACTAACATGAAGAGAGAAACTAACATGAAGAGAAGAAAGAAACTAACCTAAGGGGCAGGTTTCAGAAGCCTAAGCAATTCCATACCAAACGGCCATGGGCACCACCACTGTGGAACAAAAGTAAGTCATGCAATATACCACTTGGAGCCTTAGGAAATGAAGCTCGTAAGGAAAATGCAACTAAAACTTTGGGTGGATAGGAAAGAGGAGAACCTGAGGACCAGAGCTGTCACCATCATAAACTTCTAAACATGCCAAGAAGGAAGGAGCTTTCAATTGTCCCATTCTGAGTAAAATTTACCAAAATTAGAATTTTTTTTCTTCAAATACTATATGGGCTTAGCACCATAATTTATCTCTTCAGAGATTTCTCCCACCTCTATTTATGTTCACAACACATTGCCGTCTGCAAGCAAGTGGCCCCTCTGCAAGCAGGCATCCTGGCAGAATTAAAACCAATGATTTCCTGTTTACAACATATCCTAAATTTCTGCTACTGCCTTTGGCAACGACTTGGGTCTGGATTGCACAAAGTTCCGAGAATATTATATAGTTGAACTGAGAGCTAGAGGGTTGAAGTTTAGCTTTTGTTTCAAAATTTCAAAGGTAAGAGACCGTTCAGTGTTAAACATGTGTGTTGTAATAACCCTCTGAAAGCTAAAATTCAAGCATATGAAAGTGAACATCTGAAGGACTGAAGGATCTATACACACCCGAGTGAGAGAGCCCAGGCTACAGCTGCAGAACTCCAGTGTTATTCAGGCACAGAAATAACATGTATGTAGCATTAGGCTGAACAAACTTAGATACTCGGAAGTGACTTTTATTTTTTGTTAGACTCCAACCACAAAGGCAAAAATAAAATCGGATTTTTAAGTATAAAATTTCTGTGGACTTGACTTTACATTCAAAGACCAGGGGAATATAATATGGGAAATTATTTTTCTCCTGGGAAATGAAGGATGAAAGGGGGAAGTCTCTATTAAAGATTAGGGGCATTTCTTATTGGCTAACATTGTAGAAGTAGAAATTTTTTACTTTAATTTAGTTTCATTGCAGACCTGTACAATGACTTTTACTGAACAGTGAAGCTGGTCATAATTTAAAAATAAGAAAAAAAGAGAAGGGAGACAATTTTCTGCCCTGGAGTTCTGTCTTCTAGGTGTTAATTTATGTACTTCATCTTGTAGGATCACATCAGAACATGTGCTGGCAAATCCTAAATGGTCCACCCATGTTTCATGAAGACACACAAAGGAACCAGTGGTTGGCATTAAGAGAGGGGCCTCACCGGAATGGGAGTAGGACCGTGCTGAAAGTGTGTAGATTTCTTAAACAACCAAAATCTTAATGCTTCAACCTGATGGGCAGAAAATAAAAAGCTAGAGAATGTCGAAGAGGAACTTCATATCCTTGTCCTTGTGATTCCATGTAATAGGATTCCATTGGAAATAACACTCTTGGGATCTCTTCTCACCACTAACCCATTCCTCCTCATGAAAACAGACTGTCAAATCCAAAGAAAACAACTGGGCATGTGGGATCAGCCTCTCAGGGGTTGCTTTTTAGATATTTCTGGCTGGATTCTCTAATCTTACAAAAGAAATCTAAAACTACCCAGCATTTTGGCCAAAAATTTCAAACAACTTGACAATATTTTGGGTTCCCACATATTTATCTCAGCTTCCTATTTATCCATAAACACTGATACATAAAAGGAAAAAATGAGCATTATTTATCAATTTCCTAAAACCCCATCACTAAATGTTATGGTAACTTACGTCTCTTCTTCAGCTTTCATTTGGAAGGCATCTTCTAACCAATCTAATAATTTGTGTGTAAACTCACTCACATCTTGCTGTGGAAAGAAAATAAGGTCTTATTAAGCCTACTCATAAAAATACTAAATATTGCAATATAAAACTTACAGCCTGTCATATCAAATATAAAATTACTGACTTCTCCCAAAAGTAGTATATGAAATGTTTCACATCAAATACAAGAAATATTTATAATCTAACCAGAGAATAAAACTAGGATCTGAGAATCAGCATTATAATGATAAATCACAGTGATTAGGTTATAATATGGGAAAAAATATACACATGTGTTATATGTTAAATATATGTATTATACACATACACACACACACACATAAATTCTAATTTGCAAATGAGATTTTTAAAAACAATTATCACCCCAAAAAAGAGTTCTCTAATGAATGTTTATAAAATGAAGGACCCACATTAACAGAGTTCTTTATTATATAAAGAATTGTTACTGGCTTCTCTCTTAGAATGAAGATGTGATTTTTGACCATTCATTTTCTTAATTCAACTTTACACACAACTTTTTAAGCCATGTGCACTTTTACTAAGATATGTTACCTTGGACAGGTTTAGTTTAATCAGTCACCAACTCCCAGTATCAAGTCCATCATCTCATGAACTCTAAAATTCTCCGTTCAGAACTAGCACAAACCTCACCTGTTGCCATCCCTTCTTTCAGTCGTAGTTCCCCTAACATGGAAAAACAGGAATAGACAGTGGCAGTTTTACTCATGAACTACCATAATCCTTTCAATAATGTGAGGTAGAACATAGAAAATAGGTTCATCTAGAACCCAGGGAGAAAAAATAAACCAATCCAACTAAGTCTGCTCTGCCAAAGACAGATGAATCAATGTAAGCAATCTGCCTTTATTTATCAAAAGAGCCCCAAGTATTAAACAAATTTACTATTACATATATTTCCTGCTAGAAGTTTTCTGAAGAGCATCTGGGTCTATCCATTCACCTTTAGAATGCTGAAACTAGGATCTAAGAAGCTTAAGTGAATTGTTCCAAAGCCATATAGTTAGAGACGACTAAACCCAGCACAAAAATCCAGTTATAAACATCCAAACGAACTGGAGTGGGTTAAATGGTGGCCCACCAATATGTATGTCCACCTGGAACCTCAGAATGGAATCTTATTTAGAATATGGGTGTTTGCAGATATAATTAAGGTAAATCTCTACATGAGATCATCCTTGATTAGGGTGGGCCCTAAATTCAATGGATAGGTATTCTTACAAGAAACAGAGAAGAAGCACACTCAAAGACACACAGGGGAAAAGGCCATGTAACAGAGACAGGAGCTATGCCACGAAAAGTCAAGGAATACCACAAGCCACCAACAGATGGTTAGGGCAAGAAGAAGTCTCCCTTAGGGCCATGGGAGGGACCACAGCCCTGCCACCACCTCTACTTTAGACTTCTGGCCTCTGGAACTGTGAGAGAATAGTTTTCAGTTGCTTTGAAGTCACTGGTTTATGGTAATTTGTTACAGCTGCCCCACAAACTAATAGAACACCTTAAACACAACTTTCCATAACTTTAAAATTCTGTAATTTACTTATCTTGCAAGGTTAAATCTAACAAGAAACACACGTTTCCTACTTATCACAATACTATTCAGAATAAATCAATCCCTTTTTAAGCAGTTGATCTAAAATCAACATTTACAAAAGAATTCTGCCTGCTTTCATCAAGAGAAAAAAGATGAGGCCTTTCCCACAACATTTTAATTTTAAACTGTAACAATTATAGGTATAATTAAAATTGACAGTACTGTATACCAAAGGGTATCCCACAAGACTCTTGCATATTCCAAAACATGATATATTTAAGAAGACTATCAAATATAAGTATGAATTCACGTTCTAAACAAGTAATGATGTTTACTTCACTCGTGGATTTATTCCACTCTGTCACTAACGTGTGTTTCAGATTCAAGCGTCTGCGAGAAGAGAATCAAACCTGTATCAACCTGAATATAACGTGCAACTACTCTAAAAGATCTCCAGACAAAAAGAACTAACAACGAGAAAACTAGTTAGTCTACACTGCAGCCTAAAGCAATGGCATCCACATCGTGGCAGTCAAGAGTCTGTAACAGCCTAACAACAGCTAGTTGTCTCCCTGTCCACTCTAACAAAACTAAAAAGTCTACAGTGTACATATAAGCCTCCCAATAAGTTTGTGCAGCCTCATTCTTAAATACGAAAAGATACCCAAAGATTACTATTCATAGTAACCAAGAAAAAGACATAGAAAAAGCAATTCCATAAGAAACAATAAGTCAGGAAATAGAAGTGACTTTTTAAATTTAATTTTATGCCCAAAGCTATTAGAGAATATAATGCACATACTAAATAAATAGTGCTACAAAAAAAAAAAAAAAAAAAAAAAAAAAAAAAAGACACGTACAACCAGGAGTACTCTAAAATGGGGTTTGAGATCGTTTTTAAGAATATTTGACTATGTTAAGTGTTATTATAACAGATAAGAGTAAGACATTAAACCTAAACAGCACTGGAACTTTGTTAGAAATCTTTTTAAAAACCAAACCAACCAAAAATAAGTAAGAGCAAATCCTAATGTGAGCACCTTTTTCACTGATGTATCTTTGCCATAAAAGGTGTCTTTAAAAAACAAAACAAACAAACAAACAAAATAACATGGGGAAGACAGTGGCAGAATTACACATCTTTTCAGAACCTTCTCCAAACACTGTTTCTACATATCCACATAACAGATACAGCCCAGTCTGCTGCAAGTGCGGTGGCTTTAGGAATCTCTCCTGAAACGTTTCATCAGCTTCACTGCCATCTCCTCCATCACTGCTGCTACTACACTGATATTTTCTTTGCTTTTCTTATTTTCCTTCTTTTTTAATTTCTGACTTCTCAAATTGTATGTGAAACTCCCAATTATCTTTAAGAAATAGATTTTGAAAACCACAAAATAGCACTATACAAAGATTGAAAACCAGAAGCAGCAATAACAAAGTTAATGTAGTTCAGAAACCTTTTCTGAGTAATTAAACTACTCCCTGTCAACAAAAACAGACATATCAAAAGCATGTATACTCGACTAGCATTGGACTATCACACATTCATGAAGATTTATATATACACATTTGTGAACACTCTTAATTTTACCCGTTTTCACTTCTTAATTTCAATCAAAATATAAATCACAGCTTCATTTAAGACTTTTCAAGATCACCGTTATTTTTTTAATATAAAAGTAAACCTTCCAAATAAGCAATGTTTCAAATGACTACAACTTATTTTTAATAAAGATGAATAACAACATTGTCAGTTGTCATGTATCTTTGAAAAAACTAAGGAACAATCAGATTAAATAAAATACGATCGGTAATATATAAGTACAAAAAAAAAAAAACTACCTGCTGAGAGTCATTTGATTTGAAAGCATCCTTAAGAATTTCAACTGCTCTTGATGGATCTACATATTTCCTTTTAGTACCAACAAGAAGTGCAAATAGATACCTCAGCTCATGCATAAAAGGCAAATTCCGATGCTCCTATTGGGGGGAAAAATCTTAAGTGAAGATTAATCTTTATTGGTAAACAGATATTCATTTTAAAATGCAAAAACTTAACTAATATTGATTAGGGAGGAGTCCAGCACTCCTTACATCGTAATTAAAGAAGACTGTTGTGATCTAGGAGATTCAACAGAGTAGAGCACAAAAACAGCAGAGGACCTACGCTTAGCTCACAATTTTAGCACAAATGCTACATTTTTATAGCTAATCATGTTATTACCCAGCCAAGAATATCCTCCTCATTCAAGCCTATTTATTATAATTCTTTCCATTCAGCAAAGCCCAGCTGCTGTGGACAGCAATAACAACAGCCGATATTCAATGAGTGCTAACTTCGTGCCAGGCACTATTTAAGTACTTTTCCTCAATAAGCCCATTTAAACAAAGATCCCTCCTCTTCCATGAAGCCTTCCCAGACCCCTTCAAGTCAATAATTCCTTCAAACTCCACATCTACTAAAATGAATGTCTTTCACTCAGCAATGAATCACCAACTGGGAGTGTCCTGTGATGATCCTAATAATCAGACAATATGAGTCTAATAAGTAATTAGAGTAGTTCCTAATATTAGACTAATGTATCATGCTTCTAGTGTTCCTTTGAAATCTTAACTTTTGTGTCTCAATAGACTGTAAGCTTCTCAAAAACAAGAACTTCTAAATTTCTTCCACAACTTTCTACTACACAAAGCAGGTATTCAATTCTTTACATTTGGTTTAAACCCTCCAGAAAAAAACAAAAACAACCCAATATTATCAATTATCAACAACTTAATTTTTTTTTAATTTTTTTAATGTTTATTTATTTTTGAGACAGAGAGAGACAGAGCATGAATGGGGGAGGGGCAGAGAGAGAGGGAGACACAGAATCGGAAGCAGTCTCCAGGCTCTGAGCCATCAGCCCAAAGCCTGACTCGGAGCTCGAACTCACGAACCGTGAGATCGTGACCTGAGCTGAAGTCGGACACTCAACCGACTGAGCCACCCAGGCGCCCCGAACAACTTACTTTAAAACAAGAAGGAAATGTTTTTAAAGAATGGAATTCACATATCTCAGTTAAATAAATATGGTAACAAATCAAACAAGCAGTTCTTATTATATAGTTAGCTCTTGCAATAACAATTTCAACACGTAAAGGTTATCTATTCGATTGAAATATGAGAAAAATCTTCCAAGTGTATATAGTTGGTGTTCTCAACATTATAAACTGTAGGGATGTGTGTATATATGTATAGTGCTGTCCAGAATGATATAATCAATGTAGAAATAGTTGTTCCTAGAATGCATTTTAAAAAGGAGTCCTAAGAAACAAGTGTAAAGGAATAAAACATTTGGCTCCAAATGCTTGTTATTTGATCCAAAAACAATACACCATTACAGCAATCACAAAGTGCATTGTCTGAATGAAAGTGCTAAGTTATAGAAAACATGTATTTTATGTAAGTATAATAAAATCCATCATCGATGATAAAGGGTAAATGTAAAAGTTTTAAATGAAAGAAAACTAACCTATAATTTTTCTGTTGTACTTCCTACTCCCCCTCAAATGCCTTATATAGATAGGTTTTAAAAGTATAAATACAATTTTAATCCACAAAGTAATTTCCAAAATACCCTTAATTTTCTGAGCTCAATTTATTTCTTTTATGACCAAATCTAAGTTAGCACAGTTTTTTGAGACATTCCTTGCTAAGAACAAGGATGAAATAAATGGGCTTTTGAAAATTTAGTGTATTTCTGCTGAGAAGCATATTGGAAAAGTAAAATAATTTATTTAAACATTTTTGTTCTCAGCTAATTTCCATGGCTAGAAAATCTTTTTGCATTTCAAAAGGCAAAATTGTAAATGATGTTAAATGCAGCTACTACATTTGGCTAAATTATGAAAATATCACCACATGCAGAAACTATCCAAACTATTCTTAGTCTTTTAAAAAAAAGACTTGTCAAAGTATAACTGATGTACAATATACTGTACATTATAACACACATACTTTCCTGAGCTTCAGACATGTATACATCCATGAAAGCATCACCATAGACAAGACAATGTACCTATCCATCACTCCCACAAGTTTCTTCAAACTTTACTCCCTTTCCCTGATCATCCCAGGGCAACCATGGTCATTTTGTATTTTCTAGAAATTTACACAAATCAGATCATACTCTATGTACTCATTTTAGTCTGGTTTCTTACGACAGAAATGATTATTTTGAGTTTCATCCCCAAGACTGTGTGTGTTAACGATCCATTCTGTCTTAACGCTCAGTAGTATTCTAATTGTCTGAATATCCCACACTTCTTTATCCAGTGACCTATTCCGGCTGTTGTGGCTATTACCATACATGTCTTTGTGTGGACATATGTTTTAATTTCTCTTGAGTAAAAACTTGGAGAGAGCTTAGGTTGTATGTAGATTTATTTTTTCAAGAAACAACCAAACTGCTTTTGCAGAAGCGTTATACATGTTATATTCCCACTGACAGCTTAATAAGAGTTCTAGATCCATTTTCTACATCATTTGGATATGGGTTATATTTTTAACTAGTTCTTCCAGTGGGTACAAAATGGCACCTCTAGTTTTAATTTCCATTTTCCTATGAAGTAATGTCAAGCACCTTTTCATGCAGTTATTTGTCTGTAGATCCTCTTTGGTGAAGTGTCTGTCCAAATATTTTTCTCCGAACAGTAATAGCTTATCTTATTATTGACTTATGCAAGTTCTGTATATATTCTAGATACAATTCCTTTATCTGATACGTGTTTTGCTAAGTGTGCACTTTATAGTATACAGTATATTGTACGTCAGTTACACCTTAATAAGTCTTTTTTAAAAAAAGACTAAGAATAGTTTGAATAGTTTCTGCATGTGGTGATATTTTCATAATTTAGCCAAATGTAGTAGCTGCATTTAACATCATTTACAATTTCACCCTTTGAAATTCAGAAAGATTTTCTAGCCACAGAAATTGGCTGAGAGCAATTTGCTCCCAGTTGTGGCTTAACTTTTCATTTTGTATAAATTTTTCAGATAATAAGTTTTTAATTTTGATGAAGTCCAATTAATCATTTTTTTTTATGATTTGTGTCCTTGTTTTCTCCCACTTAAGAAATCTTTTCTTGGGGCGCCTGGGTGGCGCAGTCGGTTAAGCGTCCGATTTCAGCCAGGTCACGATCTCGTGGTCCGTGAGTTCGAGCCCCGCGTCAGGCTCGCATCAGGCTCTGGGCTGATGGCTCAGAGCCTGGAGCCTGTTTCCGATTCTGTGTCTCCCTCTCTCTCTGCCCCTCCCCCGTTCATGCTCTGTCTCTCTCTGTCCCAAAAATAAATAAAAAACGTTTGAAAAAATTTAAAAAAAAAAAAAAGAAATCTTTTCTTAACCTAAGGCATTAAAATTTTCTCTAATGTTTTCATCAAGAATTTTTAGTTTGTTTTCTTTTAGGTCTATAATCCATTATCAGTTTTTTTCATATATTTGAAAAAGATACGTTCTGTAAGGGCTGAGGGTTATCTTTTTGTCTACGATACCATCAGTTTAGAAGATTTTCCTTTGTCTACTGATACTGAATTGTTTTGTCAATTCTCATTAAAATCAACTCACTCTATATGTGTAGGTCTATTTCTGGATTCTATTCTGTTCCATTGATCTGTATGACTAGACTATCTTTTCACCAAAAATAATGCATTAGAGTTGATTCTTCCAACATTGTCTTTCTTTTTAAAATTACTATGGCTATTCTAGTAGTCCAATTTTCCATACAAATGTAGTATCAATTTGTCAATTCCTATGAAAAAGCCTGCTGGGATTATGATCAGGATTGCACTGAATCTATAGATTAAACTGGGGATAATTGATATCATAACAATCAATATTGAATCCTCTCATCCTTAAATATATCTATCTCTTTAATTTCTCTCAGCAAAATTTTGTGGTTTTCTATAAGTATCTTTTGTCCACTTTACCCCAAATAGTCCACATTTTATGCTACTGTATATATGTATTTTTTAATTTAAATTTCCCACTGTATTTACAAATACAACTGATTTTTTTTAAGTTTATTTTGAGGGGCGCCTGGGTGGCTCAGTTGATTAAGTGTCCAACTTCGGCTCAGGTCATGATTTCAGAGTTCATGAGTTCGAGCCCTATATCAGGCTCTGTGCTGACAGCTGGAAGCCTGGAGTTTGCTTCTGATTCTGTGTCTCCTTCCTATTCTGCCCCTCCCCTGCTCACACTCTGTCTCTCTCTCTCTCTCTCTCTCTCTCTCTCTCTCTCTCAAAAATAAACATTAAAAAAAAAATTAAAGTTTCTTTTGAGAGAGAAAGAAGAAGAGGGGGAGGAAGAGAGAGAGGGTGACAGAACCCCAGAAGGCTCTGTGCTGTCAGTGCAGAGCCCGACACAGAACTCGAACTCATGAACTGTGAGATCATGACCTGAGCTGAAGTCAACAGCCCAACACTTAACTGACTGAGCCACCCAGGTGCCCCTAGAAATAAAATTGATTTTTGCATGTTTGCCTCATATCAGGTAACCTTGCTGAGTTCATTCCTTGGTTCTACCATCTTTTATTTATTTTTGTACAGTACTTAGAATTTTCTACATAGACAACCAAGCATATACACAAAGACACCTTTATTTCTTCCCTTCTAATCTTCATGTTTATTTCCTTTTTCTGCTTTATAGCAATGGTTAAGAACTCCAGTCTACTGTTTAACAGAAGTGGTGAGGACAGATATCCTTGCTTGCTCCTGATTTTTGGGGCAAAGCATTCAGTCTTTCACCTAAGTATTATATTAGTCGTAGGCTTTTCATAAATGATTTTTATCAAGATAAAAAAGCTTCTTCCAGTTTCTAGTTTCTGAGAGATTTTAGGTACATCACCTTTTGTCAAATTCTTTATCTACTAAGGTGATTATATGGTTTTCTTCTTTAGTCTGTTACCATGGTGAATTAGACTGATTTTTGAACACTAAA